CTACGCGCTCCCCCAACTTTCTCACCCACATTCCTCTCTGATTCTCCCAATTTTCATGAGTATTCGAAATACATGATTGGTCAATTGGTGCTCACGTGATAATTTTTTTTTTCCCACTAGGAAAAACAAATCTCTACCAGAGCTCCAAATAGCTTTCATTATATACCGCATGTCTAGATTCTTAGCCTCTGATTGGTCAAATTCGCGGGCATGAAATTCACTACGGACTGTCGGGCGGTATGGTGAAAAATATTGACCGGGCATAGTATTATGTCTTTGTACGCGAGCGGGTAGCTATGACAATTTAGATACGCGGGCGCGCAGCCGGCAGCGTTATTTTTTCTGCGGCACAGATTGGGGTTAGGTGCGTGTTGAGCCTATGGAAAAGTTTAGGGTTAGGGTTAGGGTTAGGGTTAAATCAAGAACTCTTTTTTTTAAAAGCCCCAATCTGTGCCGCAGAAAAAAATGACGCCAGCCGGCACCATAATATCATATATGTAAACCGAACGAAATTTCACAAGAGCGATCGATGAGAATTACCTTACGTTACCGTATTTCATCTGTCTTTGAAATTGATTTCTGATCTACTGAGCGAAATGAACGGAGCGTAAATTGGCGTTGGGTCCAGGGGGCACAGCCCCTTTGAAACTCAGGGGTTTTAAGCAGGCAAGGGGGCGCGGAGCGTCATTCAAAGTGGGGGGAGCACCAACCAAAAAGGGCCCTTTCCGGGGGGAATAGTGGCACATACAAAGGCTTTAAATATTGAAATTTCCAGGGCCCCCCCCAAAAAAAAAAATGCGTTTCTCCCCCCCCCCCCCCTTGGGTATGATGCCAATTCCATATCATCTTTAAGAGAATTCGTTTTTGTTTACACTCGGTTTATATTTTATATCAAATAATTATTTCTGGGGGAATTGATAAAAAGCAGAAAATTAAAGAAACAAATTACTGAAACTTTGAGCAATTTCCGATTTAAAAAAAGGGAATGAATGCGTGTTTGTGTAAGTGGACAGATTCATCAGAAGGGAGTTCACTTGAAGTGTATAATATAGTTAAGTTGAAGCCATAACTGTAATAATAGATCCCGGTAATAAATACGAGATTTGTGAGTTGCTGGCTGTGTCAAACAAGACAGATTGCAGCTTATGGATTGTGCAGCCACTTTTTTTTGCACAAAAACTGAAAAAAAATGTTTGCAAACTAGCCACCCTACACCCCCTCCGGCTCTCCGTACCTTGTCCTTTGGCGTCCTATATGGCCGATAGTCCTTTTGCTCGCCAACAACTGAATTCTTCATTATTAAACAAAAAATATTAACCTTTAAAAATCCATTTTATTCAAACCTATTTATATAAAAAAAGTCAATCTTATTTTAAAGGAATACAAATCCTAAGAGAAGAGGCGTAAATATTCACTTCTGAATGAAAAAAACGCCTATAAACAACAACAACAACAACAACAACAACAACGACAACAACATGGGCCGACAGCAATCACTGGCGTCGGGCTTCAGTTTAATTCAACAGCTTTATCACCTTACATCAGGCCCCGCGGAACGTTTAAAGGGATCCGGTAACTTTGTCTCAGATTCTGAAACAAAATTCTGGATTTAGCTCATGATGCAATGATAATTATAAACCTTTAGGTCAGTCAGGAACCCCATGACTTTTACAAGCCAATCGCCTGTCTGATTATCAAGATATTCATGATTGGAATTACACATTTTGAAAACTGTTCGCCTGACGGTTTTCATAACACTACAGTCTTTTGGGGAAAACGAGTATGGTAAAACCGGTCACTCAAAGATTTTTACTTTTTTGAGGCACTTCTTGATCATTTTGAAGCGCAATTTTTTTAGGGCTTCAATATTACACCATATCACAGACACTGATAACACGTAGGGCCGTGTATCTCAGATTTAACATTGTTAAACGATCCCTTTAAAGTATTTACGATCAGGTAGAGCAAAATGAACGGAGCGTAAATTGGCGTGGGGCACTGGCGTACCTATGGGGGGGGCAGGGGGGCAGAGTGCCCCCCTGACGGGCTCCAGGGGAAAAAAGAAAAAAGGAAAGAAAGAGAAAAAAGGAAAAAAAGGAAAGAAAAAAGAAGAAGAAGAGAAAAGGAAGAAAAAGGGAAAAGAAAAGGAAAGGAATAAAAATGGGGAAATTTTTTAAAAAAGACCATGGCCGTACGCACCAGGGGGGGGGGGGGCAGTTGACCCCAGATATTTTGAAAACGTACAGTTTTTTTTCCTGAAAATGTATTGTAGGCCTATACCAAATCCTTCAATTCTACTTTTGAAAATGCAAAAGTACCCTCATGACCAGTTCGGTCGCTCGAACTCCCTTCACTCCTTTTGCTTTTGAGATTCTTCGAAAACTTTTGACGCATCTTTCCCCCTCCCCCACCAGAAAAATATTCCGCATACGGCCCTGAAAAATTAAAACAAATGAAAATAGGAAATATAAGTGATATAACAAATTTGAAACTCTTCGCTGGCGCGAACTGCTTGCTAGCCTATTTTGTATTAAATGTTTTCACTTGCTCGTCCCCCTGAAAAAAGAAAAGGATTAGTATTGCCTAGAATACAATTGTGCCTGCCCCGACGGGCCCCGACCTGCAACCATGGCAACAATAACACACAATATATGTACCAAATGTTACTAACAGAGACTAATTCATTTTTCTCACTCGCTACACTCGCTCGCGAATAAAATGAATAGACATTGCTTTGGAAACAATTATGCCCACCCTTGACCTGCAACAATATCATTAAAAATGGAAGAGTTTTTTCGCCCTCTCGCCAAAAAGGAATTGAATCGCGTTAAACGCGATTGCGTCCATCCCGACCTGCACCAATAAAATCAAGTTTATTTATTAATTTCTATTAAAAGAGAATTATTTTTTTTGCTTGCTCGCTATGCTCGCTCGCCAAAATGGAATTGACACCGCTAACATGCCCGCCCCAACCTGCAACAACCAGGTAATAATTATGTACCAAACGTTATTCAAAGAAGTTTGGTGTGCTCGTGCTCGCCAAAACGGAATTAACATCACCTTAGACATGATTGTGTAAGCCCTGCCCTGCAACAAAAAATCTGAAATTTATGAACCAATTATCATTACAAAAATTTTGCTCGCTCGCCAAAATAGAAATAACACCGCTTTTAATAATCACGTCCTTGACATGGAACAATGAACCCAAGTTTATATACCATATTTTCCCTATAAAAGAGAAGTGATTTTTTTTGCTCGCTCGCTACGCTCGCTCGCCAAAATAGAAATAACACCGCTTTTAATAATCACGTCCCTGGCATGGAACAATGAACCCAAGTTTTATGTACCATATTTTCCCTATAAAAGAGGAGTGATTTTTTTTTTCCGCTCGTTACGCTCGCTAGCTCGTGGAATTATGTGCCCACCACTAACCTGCTACAATATCATTAAAAAGAGAAATGTAGGGGGTTGCCTGCCTACCAAAATGGGATTGACATTGCCTTAAACACGATTGTGCCCGCCCCCTACCTGCAACAATGAAACAAATTTTATATAGCAATTAATTGAGAGAAAGATGTATTTTCGCTCGCTAGCTAAAATGGGTATAAAATCACCCTAAACACAATATTGTTCCCGCGCCCTGCATGGGACAATTGAACCAAGTTTAAGTGGCAATTATTAAAAAAGAAGTGATTTTTTTTCTTGCTCACTACGTTTGCAAAAAAATGAAATTAACGTCGCTAACAAGTGAATGTTCCCACCCCAACTTGCCACAATACCAGTTTATATACCAAACGTTACTTAAAGATTTTATTTTGCTCGCTCGCTCGCCAGAAGTGAAAATTAGCATCGCCTTTTTTGTTTGTTTCGGTAGCTTGCCCCCCCCCCCCCCTGACGGAGTACCCCAGGTACGCCACTGGCGTGGGGTCCAGGGGGCACAGCCCCCTTGAAACTCAGGGGTTTTTAGCAGGCAAGGGCCGCGGAGCGTCATTCAAAGTGGGGGGGGGGGAGAACACCAACCAAAAAGGGCCCTTTCCGGGGAAAAGGGGCACATTCAAAGGCTTTAAGTATATGTACTGAATTCAAATAAACACGTTTTGTCAAGAGCCTGTCTAGTAATACAAGGTTTTACTTTCACCTGCTATGAAATAATAATTGGCCTATACTCAGCAAGTGGACACCTTTTTTTTATGTGTATGATTTTTGATGACCCCCCCCCCCCTCCAATTAAAACAAATAATTAAAGTGACCTCCCCCCCCCCCCCCCCCTCACTGAACGAAATATCGGTCGGCCAAATTTTGAGATTTCCAGCCCCCCCCCCCCCCCTCCCCCTTGGGTATGATGCCAATTCCATATCATCTTTAAGAGAATAAGGTTTTGTTTATACTCGGTTTATATTTTATATCAAATATTTATTTCCGGGGGAACTGATAAAAAGCAGAAAATTAAAGAAACATATTAGATCTACTGAAACTTTGAGCAATTTCCGATTTAAAAAAAAAGGGAATGAATGCGTGTTTGTGTAAGCAGGGAGAAACTCTTATCTCCCTGGTGTAAGTGAACAAATTCATCAGAAGGAAGTTCACCTGAAGTGTATATAGTTAAGCTGAAGCCATAACTGGAATAATATAGATCCTGGTAATAGATTTGTGAGTTGCTGGTTGTTAAGACAGATTGCAGCTTAAGGATTGTGCAGCCACTTTTTTTTTGCTCAACGACTGAAAATAAAGGTTATGCAAACTAGCCACCCTGCACCCCTCCGACCCCCCCCCCCCCCCCCCCCCCAACACACACACACACTTAAGAAAGGAAGAACGAAAAAGTGATAGGCGGCATAGGCCTAGACTATGTTAGATACTCCATATCCAATCCCGGCTAGAATTCGAACAGTTTAAAACTTTTCTTTAATTTGTAAATCCAAACAGTGGGTTAGAAATTTTAATTTATGGAAATTGGATAAAAATGCAATAACAAATTTGCTGCATGTACGGTATATCTCAGGAAGTCGATTACAACTTTTTTGTTTAAATGTGGACGCTCCTCAAATATAATTAGTAACGTCTGGATTACCACTACACCTCTAGATTGGGAGCTGGACAAACCGCGAAAATGGGGCAAATTCACGCAAAGGTAAGATAATTGATTTGTATTTTGGTATGAAATTATGATTATGAAACCCTGATTGCTAATTTGGTATGATTTTGATTAAAAAGACATTTTTAATACCGTGAAAAAGAACCAACTTTCCCAGACTATCTTATTGCACTGTCCCACTTGTTGATAACCATGTAGTGTGACGCGCCCTCCTTCGGAGTGGCCATGCACTGCATCGTGATCTGACACAGTAAGAGCACATTCGTAGCTAATAGCTCGGAGATAATGTGAAATGTGATATTGATAGCACCTAGCCTTGCCCCTTCGTAAAGATGGTTGTAAATAAAAATCTAAATCAAATGCATATGAAAGGCCATTCCTGCACCTGACGAACCGTGCAAACTACTTTTCGAGTTCGCTAGTGCTCCGAGTAGTCTAGTGGACTCTTCTTTCTATTCAAACAAAGCACTTAGAAATCAGTCAAGAATTAACAAAAAAAAGTGAAAATTTGATACCAGAGTGATTGCACTTTGCTTACCTTTCACCTTTTCCTGTTCCTGATGATAATGACTGTAACATTAATAAATAATGTTACCCAAACATTTGATTAATCTGACATATTTTTTTTTTTTCTGGACAGGAAATTACATCCGAGGAGAGACCTACGCTGGATGAGGAGGACCCAGCCTTACACAAACATGTCTTTGATGGAAATAATCCAGTAAGATTTAATTTGTAGTTGAGACGCATTTAATAATCATCTCTTGATCCAATAACATTCACATATCTTCTTCTTCATGTGCCTCGCCAGAGCCTTACGCTGGCTATGATGCATGTGAAACCAGTACAATATTTAGCCCCTTATTGTTTTAACCACATCAATAGCAGTTGCTAGTGCATAGCCCTCCAAATTCAAATTCAAATTTATTGACTCGAATCCACTTTTACCCTTTTCTCTATCTTTTACCTTTTGTCTGTTTTTGCCTTCTTAGAATCAAAGTTGATCCGTTTCTCAAACCACATTTGTGTGTATTATTGCCAAGGTAAATTGTACATAATTCAGCCATTTGGCTGCGAAGTGCAATCATAATAAAACCTTTTCAATCAATAGTGTCAGAAATACTGTTCACAAAGACAATTAAGTGCAAATAATTTCAAAAATTTAAATTAACAGATTTGCATACATTAATGCATGCCTGTCCGGGAATATAATACAAAAAGTTTAATAATTTTAATTTCAGTCTATGACATCCTCTTTCTTTTGTACCATAATATCTGTATGGTAGGAAGAAAGGTTAAAACAGAATTGAATTATATTCTTAAAACTATTTTTGCCTGTGAAAAAAATGTTAATTTTTGCAATCTTATTTTTTTTAAATTTTTCCAAGGTCAAAGTTGAGCATGTCCACATAGATGGCTTAGGTCGAACCAAAGATGACCTTGTGATACGTCACATGAAAGATGTCCTTCAGGCCAAGACCTTCAAAGAGGTCATCCAGAGGACAGGAGAGGCAAAGGTCAAACTGGAAGGTCTCGGGGTCTTCAAGTCTGTTGGTGTCTTCATCGATACAAGCAAAGGTACAGTAAAATGATGACAATCATCATCTATACAGGATTGTAGGATATCCTGTAGGTCTCCCAGTCAGATCACTTGGTACATTAGTAAAGGTCTTTAAATCAGTGCATGAATGTCATACTATGCTATAACAAAGTGTTTGTCTGACCAAAAAGAATTAAAGCTGTGTTTAAATGAGTTGATGCTGGAAGCATTTTCTAGAGACACTGGGGGCCGTTTCTCGAAACCAACTCCATGACAGTCATATCTTTGTCGGCGACCTACGGAGATATCATGAAGCGGATAAACCGTTTCACAAAGCCATGACAGACATGATATCGATATATCGCGATACTAGCAGCTCAAGAACATAGTCTTTGTCACGATCCATTTGATTTATCACGAATAACCCAAAACAAGTTTTGGGGCTAAAATTGTTCAAAAAGAAATATATACATATAAATTCTCCTAAAATAAATAATAAATAATAAATAGTGTCATTATCAAATGTAGATCATCAAACGATTTGCATATTTCTGTAAAGATTCTTAAATTGAAGAAAAACCGGTGAGTGTTTTTTTTCGACAGACGAATCAAAAGTTAGTTGAAGGATACCGTAATGTGATAGTTTATCAATACGTACTTTTTTGTTTATTGTGACGAGGAATTTTAGGCAAAATGTCTTTTCTCAGCCATTTTTTATTCTAGAGTCTCATAAATACTTGTTATATAATTGATTTGATATTGAAAATATAATTTGGAAGAAGTAAATAGAGAGGGAAAAATAATGCACATAGGCCCCAAAGGTATGACGGTATCCTAAGAAAAGACTATGGATCAACTATGGAAAACGGTGTGTAACATTCTTACCTCTCTTATTTATATGTTATAGTTTAATGATTTGTGATTTAATGTTTATATTAAGCTTTTTAAAGTATCTGTATAATTTGTATTCTCACTTTTGTACATTTGCATTTCGCATCCCAGAGAATTACGTACCGAACTCATCTATATTTTTCTCAAGATGATAGTGAAACTAATCGTCCATTTCGCGGCCCATGGAATGGCAACAAACTGACTTGTGATGGCGCTTTACAGCAATTAAAAAGATCTTGGCAAAGACGGCTTCGTGAAACACTTAGCTGACAAGTTGTGTGACAGTGGCGAGATGTCGTTGATCTTGTAGTTATGACGGTTTCGAGAAACGGCCCCCTGGTAAACTATTCCAAGACTGGATGACCTGTTTGCTAAATGCATTTCCAATCCAGGGACCTGTTTCAAAAAGCCTTTTCTCAATGACAAATGACACAAATCAGTGACAAATCTGCTGATAGCCAATAAGAAGCAAGGATTTCACTAAGTTATAACAAAAACTGTCATTTGTCACTGATGACAATTTTTGTGAAATGGGGCAGAGGACTGTAAAGTATATGCTCCTGTAAGATGTACTCCTGTTAGCCCATGACTGATCCATCTCAATCCACTTCTCCGTACCACTTCCACCAGCGTTTCTTCCAGACCCAACCTTTCCGTGAGCTCCTTTGTGTTCTTTCTATCGGACAGTTTCGCACCACTCATCTTCAGTATCATGGCTCTTTCTGTCACATGTTTAAACCCTGCTGTGAATACATCAAGGGTTTAATGACACAAAGACGTAACTCCATATTTTACCAAAATGAGTATTTGATATCAAAATGTTCAGAAAAATGTGGGCCTTCCAGGAAACACCAACAACAAAAAGCTCCACCCAACACTCCAGTGAAGTCAATGGCTAGTGAAACATAGACTTAACTCCTTAAGGCCTAAGTGCTCAGTGACACATGAACCACTTTTCAGGGCTTAAATTAATCCAAGGCCACCAAGGCCATGGCCTTGGATGGCCCTTTGATTGGCCTCAATGCCCCTCTCATTGGCCTTGGAGATTTTTTGTGCCGTTTCCAATTCTTCCCATTGGTGCTGTAATATAGGAATGTGCCCTACAGAAAAGTGGCCTTGCCCTAAAAATGTTGAAATTTAAGGCCTGACTTTTTCTCAAAATGGCCAAAATTGAGTTATGCTTTGTGTCATTGACCCCGCAATATTTTCTCATTATTTTCTGAACCCTAACAGGAGACGGTTCCAGTGCCAAAGGCTTAGACGTAACCTTCAACGTGAAGGAGACTCGACGATTGACAGGCAGCGCCCATACTGCAGTGGGAAATAATGAAGGCAGTCTGGTAAGAAACTAATACAGAAATTGAAGGCAGTCTGGTAAGAGACTAATACAGAAATTGACTGTAAATATTCACTTCTGAATGATAAACGCCAATAAACCACAACAACAACAACAATATTTCCAGATTATTCTAAAGATCGTTGAGTAAAGGCTTGTTCAGATATGACGCGGCAAAACTAATACAGAAATTGACCATGTCCAGTTTATAAACTCCTAGGGGGGTGGGGGGTGATATACAGTCAAATCTACTTTAGATCATAATTGGATCCAGTGACCAGGGTAATAACACTGTATATACAAGCACTTTGGTCAGTTCCGTTGTAACTGGTAAAGCATGACATAGAAAATAGTTATCACTATTGTAACTATGTCTGTCTTCATGTGTCTCTATGAATTTTCTCTCATGGAACCCATTTCACAAAGCCCTTTTTTCAATGACAAATGACACAAATCAGTGACAAATCTGCTGATAACCAATAAGAAGCAAGGATTTCACTAAGTTATAACAAAAACTGTCATTTCGTCGGCCTTATGCCAAAAGGGCCTTAACTGCTTTTGGCCATTCCGAGATAATCGCGTTTAAAGGTTTTGGCCTCTTTAATAATCAAAAGTTTGTGGTCGTTTTTTTGTTTTTGAAGCCAATTTCGATAAATATGTTAAGTTATTAAGTTTTACATGAAATGTTTCAAATGTGTTATAAAATATTCAGAATTGTACATGCTATGTGCAAAAAACATGTTAGGGCCTTTTTGGCATAAGGCTTGAATGCAGCGTATTTATGCCAGAAGGGCCGTAACCTACTCGGCATTGTGCCAAAAAGGGGCGTAACCTACGCGTCGTTATGCCAAAGGGGCGCGCATAGTACGTGCGCATAGTTAGCGCCCTTCTGGCATAAGGAAATTTTCTTGTTTCGCAACACCTTTGGTTTGCCAGAAAGGCCCTCCTACGGCTATTGGATCACGAAAACTGATAAAACTGGTTAATTAAAATGTTTTATAAAGTATTTTTGATATCTGAATATTTTTATTTAATACAGCTTTCGGTAAAGTTATTTTTTAGAGATCGTACATTTAGAACACCTTTTTCGTTGTTTATTTTTCATCACAGTCCCATACGTTGACATCTGCGTATTTCAACGAGTCGGTCGCATTTCATGCATCCATACCTAATTTAAATCTCACTCAGATTTCATGATCTAAATTCATGACATATACTTTCAGTGATTATTTTAAGTACATTGTGTCTATTCTAGACTAATCATGTTTTTAATGGTGTTTCTACTGATATTTATTGAATTTAATGAAAATTACGAAATAATCTGTCATTGATAAAAGATTTGCCGTGTAGGTTAAGGCCCTTTTGGCGTAAGGAAAAAGATGAGATACGCGTTAAGGCCCTTTTGAAATTCATAATTATCTTCGTAAATAAATCGAATTTCAACAAGTGAAGCACATCATTTTCAAGAGAATGATGAAATCTACAAGGTGATGTTAATAACTCAATAACCCCCAAAATCGGGTTAAGGCCCTTTTGGCATAAGGCCGACGATTTGTGAAATGGGGCCTTGGTCTTTCTTGCTGTCTTTTTCTGTCATTCTCGGTCACTAAATACTTACTTTTTCATCACTTCCAAACGTATTTCTCTAGGTCCTTGGGGCTAAGTTGCCTAATACGTTTGGCCGAGCTGAGAGTTTAGTTGCAGAGTACTCCAGAGGAACCAAACACTCATCAGGTTTTAATGTGATGCTGGTTAAACCCATCGGACAAGAATTTGATAAGAGGTAAGCAGCGTGAGAGATATATTAAATTGTATGACTCACTCCTAGATCCTAATCAAATGATTGGTCAAACGTGGTCATGTATGATTCATTACCTTTTTTTAATGGGAAAGTGTGCAATATGTTAGAAGTCCTGTAAATATCCACGTTGAGCAGATATACTGTAAATTTATTTTTGAAAGGACTTGAAAGAAACGGTAAGGTTTCGAGACTGGTATGTGCTCTGATTAAATATTCCTATATATCAAAGTAATAAATAAGATACTTTAAGAGTAACTGCCACATATAAAGCTCTTCTTATAGATTTTTTCCTTAAAACTGGATGAGGAAATGGATATATTTAACTGTGAAGATAGAAAATGAATGTTGGTGAGCATGGAAAGTGTAGTCAAAATATAGAAAATGTGTGGGTTTTCCAATCATTTTATTTCTTCTAAATCTTACCAAATAGGTTAAGAGGTTCGGTGTTCAAGTCTTCAGCCGATTATGCCCCCAGCTCTTACCGTGAAACGGGCCGAGGTGTCACTCTAGACTTTACTGTAAGTATTTACTTGGGCAGACAAAAACGAAGATTTATATTCAGTTATTTTGACATATAAATGTTATAAAAGATACTTTTGTTTTGACCACATACTTATAGTAAACTTATAGTAAGTAGCTTTTGACACAGATGGTGACTGTTTAAGTGATTATCAAACATGTTCATTGTTTTTATATCATCAAACTCTTCACCTAGTTCCCTAGTGCTTTAGGTATGTCCAATTTGCAGCAGGCGAATGTATGGGCCAGAATTGCTTCTTTTACTACTAGAGAGCATTGAGACCACTCCTGAAAATTGTGATCTTCTAGAGAGAGATTTGTGTATTTTGTTTTGTATAGCTCCTTGAGTAAGTTATTAGATAAGTGCGCTTTATAATTAGCTATTAATTATCATTGTTATAATTAGAATGATTGTCATGAATATTTGTCTTCTTTCCTCCTCCTTCACCTTCTCCTTTTCATTCGTCTTGTCTTTTTTTCTACTTGTTTTCCATTTTCTATTCCGTCTTATTATTTATTCCTCTTCCTCTTCCTCCTCTTCTTTTTCTTCTCCTCCTTTTCCTCTTTCTTCTACTTCGTCTTCCCATCCTCCTCTTTTTCCTCCTTCTTCTTCTCATCCTCCTCTTTTGTCTTCTACTTTGTCTTCTTCTTCCCCTTCCCATCCTCCTCCTTTTCCTCCTTCTTCTCCTCCTTCTCTTTCTTCTCCTACTTTGTCTTCTTCTTCTTCCTATCCTCTTCCTTCTCCCTCTCCTCCTAGTTCCCAAGCTTTGTAGGTATGTCTGAGTTGCAGTGGGAGGGTGTATGGAGGGAGCTATCTTGCCTGACAAGAACCGCTTCCTTCGCTACCAGAGAGCAATCTGGCCACTCCTTGAAATCATCTCTAAAGGTAGGAAAGCAATGTTCTGACTCCAGGGGGGGGGGGGGGGGGGGGGGGGGGGGGGGGCATTTCACAGAGCCTTTTTCAATGACAAATGACAAAAATCTCTAATATGTACTCACTTTTATTTGTGTATAAAGATGCTGAAGTGTAAAGCATGTACTCTTTTGCAGTTTTATTTAACAGTGTGTTTAATTCTTTTTTTTAAACTGTCTTAAATCCATACTGTACTAGAAGCACTATCACAAAATGTAGCGCCATCTCGGGTCAGGTGTAGCAGTATGGTCACGTAACTCGCAGCTTCCCTATATAGCTGTGCTGTTGGTTTTCACATCGAGTCCTCTATCTGCTAGATGGGAATTAGGTATTAGGTTACGCGCTTGTGTCAAGTTGACCATGAGATAGTACGTTAGGGCCGAAATATCTGTTCAGTACCGCTCTAAATCATCGCACAATTAAAGAAATTAAAGGTAGTATACCATTCAGATTCTTCCAGTTGAGATTGATACCCGTTCTCATTTGCATCCCTATGCAGCACACACTCACCAGAGACACGCGAGATGAGAGGATTTACCCTTCGGAGGGCTACCTCCTGAAGCTGTCCCAAGAGGTGGCCGGATACACGGGAGGGGACGTCAAGTTCTGGAAAGAACAAATCCAACTCCAAGTCAACAAATCGCTCTTCTGGAACTGTGTAAGTATAATGACTACCGAATATCAACCCCTCTAAAAAAAAGTTCTGCAATTCAAGTTTTAGCTTTGATATCTCTCTTGTTAGTATATTGTCATATTTGATGTTGGTATCTTTATAGAGCATGTTTATTCCCCTTCACAATAATGCCCCATCTGTAATGATTATGTGACCATGGAATGTGCAGAATGGGGTCAAGTCACAAGTGAAATGTTTCAAAATACATTGTTATTCTTTCAAGAATGGAAATGCATTGTCCTAATTTTACATTCCTTTTCCATTATAAGCATGAGCAGATTTTCCAGGTGTTGTGTAGTAGACATGACACATATATGACATTGCCATTTAGAAATATGTGTATTTACTGTAATTTTATAGAAATTAAATGAATAAACCAATGAATGAATGATTATGTATGTGTTTAGCCGCCCTAAGTTAAGATAGTTAAGATAAACAGTAACGGTAAACAAGCAAAACGAATGGATTATTATATTTTTCTTTTTTTTCTTTCTTTCCTTTAACAGGTACTATCAGGTAGTCTCCAGGGTGGGGTCATGAAGGGGATTTCGGACACAGAGGTACGCCTTAATGATCGCTTCTTCGTGGGAGGGCCTACAACTGTCAGAGGTTTCAACATACATGGACTCGGTCCTCACACACAAGGTATGGGGAATATTTGAACTATATTTCATTTTATTATTATTCATATTATTATCTCTTACTTATCTTTCTTACTCTATATTACTCACCCTTTAATTTTGTTGTTGTTGTTTCTTTTTTCTGTATCAGGGCTGGGAAATCTGGACGGAGCCCACCATCTCTACACCCCTCTCACATTCATCAAGGCAGGGCGAGGCATCTCCTTTTACCTCTCCCATCCATCCTCTTGTTTCCACTCCATAGTATTCACACCTTTTTTTTCCCTTTCTTTCTTTCGTTTCTTTCTCTATCAGGTGACTACCAGGGTGGGGAAGCCTTTTGGGCAGGAGCCCTTCATCTCTACACCCCTCTACCGTTCATCAAGGCAGGGCGGGGCGGCTTTGGCGATGTCTTCAGAACTCATTTCTTTGTCAATGCAGGCAACCTTACCACATTAGATACAAGTAAGCTTGCTGTTATTGTTGTTATAGTAGTAGTAGTGGTGGTAGTGGTGGTAGTAGTGGTGGTAGTGATTGTAGTGGTGGTAGTGGTGGTAGTAGTGGTATTAGTGGTAGTATTAGTAGTAGTGGTAGTGGTGGTGGGGGTGTTGGTGGTGGTGGTGGTGGTGGCAGTAGTAGTAGTTGTTGCCGTTGGGAGTGTCAGACTCTGGCAGGATTCTCACCTTTCGTGCTAAAACCAAGCATGGGAGATTTTAGAAGAAAAAAAATACCAAGGGCGAGTTTTCCCCAACAACGTTACCCGCAGGGGTTATCATACCATTGTTTGTCGGTGTATTCTCTCAAACCGGAAAAAGTGTGTTGACCCTTCCAAATCAGCCCTGGGATGGTGCAAGAATTAATTTCACTCTGTTGGGACCAAGGGTTAACCATTTCTTGCCTGTTAATGGGTACCGTGTAGGAAGGAATTCCTTTAAAACTTTAGCGCTATTTCATAGTAGCACAGCTAAAACCACAGTAATAATATCATTCAGTGCTGTGTATTCTTAGGATATGTTGTTATCGTTATTGCTGTTACTTTTGTGACTTATCTACAAGAAAAATATAAATGAATTAATAAATGTTTTCTTTTTGAATGACAGATAATATGTTTGCGTGGGAGGATCATCTGCAGAAGCTGAGGCAGAACTTCAGGTGGAGCTACGGAGCGGGTCTGGTCCTAAGGATCGGGTCCATCGCCAGGTTTGAGCTCAATTACTGCATGCCACAAGCAGCTCAAGCAACCGATAGGTAAGATATTTCAGGCAGCCAGGACAGGGTTAAAAGCAAAGTCATTATGATAATAGTAATGATGATGATGATGACGATGATGACGATGATGACGATGATGATGGTGGGGATGATGATGATGATGGTGGGGATGATGATGATGATGATGATGATGATGATGATGATGATGATGATGATGATGATGATGATGATGATGATGATGATGATGATGATGATGATGGTGGTGATGATGATGATGATGATGATGGTGATGGTGATGATGATAATGATGGTGATGATGATAATGATGATGATGAGGAGGAGGAGGAGGAGGAGGAGGAGGAGGAGGAGGAGGAGGATGAGGATGATGATGATGATGATGATGATGATGATGGTGATGATGATAATGATGATGATGGTGATGATGATGATGATGATGGAGATGATGATGGTGATGATGGTGGTGGTGGTGGTGGTGGTGGTAGTAATGATGATGATGATGATTATGGTGATGATGATGATGATGATGGAGATGATGATGATGATGATGGTGGTGGTGATGATGATGATGATGATGATGATGATGATGATGATGATGATGATGATGTTGATGAGGATGATGATGATGATGAGGATGATGATGATAATATTCTTTCTGATATTTTGCAAGTGACTTTTGTACCGGTACTTGGGCAAGCAATTATGATTTTACTATCACATTCTCTATTTATTCTTTATTTTCTTCTTCTTCACATTGTTCTCCCTTATTTCTATTGTTTGTTTTCAGCATCTGCCAAGGTTTACAGTTCGGCATTGGCGTCAACTTCTTATGATAGGCAGACATCATCCAATGAGCATGCTTGCTGAAGGTCATGTGACATGTTTTTTTGCTGAAATGTAGCAGATGAGCTTCAAATCGTCACTCACCAAAGGAACACTTTATTTGCAAATTTTCTTGTCTGAGGTTCCCGGTATTCAAATAGTGCATGAATCGTTCCCCTTATTTAATTGTTACTGTTCAATTTAGGTTCTTAAAGAGACCTTTGAGCGCGCTTATCACAACTGTCTCTCTAAAATACACTATGGTCTGTATTCTACTAATTGAAATAACCCAGAGCCTCGGTCTAAGATAACGTTCAACAAAGAAAACATTTTACCTCGGACTAATTTCCTTTGTTACACCCAAGTTTGGACAAAATCTCACATGTAATCCAGCATCAGGTTTAGGTTTTAGTAGAATGTGGGCCCGGAGTTGAAGGTTGTTAGAGAAAACGTGGTCTGCAGAGGATCAAAGATTATTAATAGGGAGTGGGAGGGAAAGAAGTTTGTGTGAACGTGTACCATTCAGGTGAAAATTTGAGCTCCGGTTCCATGCCCTGTTTATGTGTGTTCATGAGTCTACTCATCAAGACAGTTCACTGGGAGATTTATTTTTAAACTGCAATATCTCTTTGTTAAAGAAATATTAGAAGCTCATAGCAACATGGATCCCCTACATCAAAAACAAATCAGCGAGAAGGAATGTCTTTTTGTAAAGATGTACATGTTTGATAACATTTTGAAAACTGAATCATGACAAGGTTTTTCTTTAGCCTTAATCATGTCATTTTTACATAATACCCACATTGAATTCAGGAAAGATAATTGGGCTTTGTATTGGCATCGTCTGAAAATGAAACAAGAATCATTGTACAATGTACTTTAGCAAAATGCTCAGATGCCTACAGAAATTGGGGTTTTCCTGTATTAAGCCCATGTAAATAAAAAAGAATACCAGGTTTGTATTTGATGTTAAGTCCATGTTGAAGATGGATTATCTTACGTGCATGGTGGTAGAATGATGATACAGCAACGAAGCATTCAACAAATTCTTGCAACATTTCAGTGCTTGGAAGGGTGTCTCACGGTTCCTTGAAAAGTCCTGGGGCCATATTCAATTCATTTTGCAGACTAAGCCAGTATTGATTTTGTTGTAGCATTTAGCTTGGCGAAGTAAAATGTCATACCGTGAATTCATATAACATCTAAGCATTTTACTTATTAAAGCAGGCCACCTTTATGGCCAAAAAATGTGACTTCACGTGGTCAATCCAAAATAATGTGTGATATTGAAGTAATCACATTAAATACGTTCTGATATAATTGTACCCAGCTTATAATGACTGCGTACAGTGTATAAAAACCATAAACTTGGACATGCCAGTTAAAATCAAGGCCTCAACAATTATTGGCCTTTGTCTGCTAGGGAGCTGTTTTAAACTGAAGGTAAAATACTTAGCCACAAGCTTCAAAGGAAAACCAAATTTGGCTCAGTATTTTATTTACCGTAAGCCAAAAACTGAATAAAATTTTAATATATCTAGCACAAGTATTGATCTTGAATATTGGCCCTGGACCGTAAATGCATGACTGATAGGAGTTTTAGAAGGTGGGACAGGACTTTCTTTACTTGATTGCAGAATATTTTCTGTGCAGTTTTGCCCTCTCTGTCACAATTTTTGTGCTCACTAGATTTTAAATCTAGTGAAATTTATTTGTATATTGAAAATGAACTATGATGTTGAATTTCCTCCAGGGAGGTTATATTAAAATCATGTTTTATCTTGAATCGATCCGTGTATTTTTGTAATCATTTGGTTAGGAATTGAGTCAATGGCCTTCCAGCATTTCTACAAGTTGAAATATGCTTAGACTCCTTGCAAGAACCAAAAATTAAACTCTCTAGATATAAACTATTTAATGTGATACCAAAACTCAACTTTGAATAACCATATATCTCTCTCTTGTCATGGGATAATTATTGCCTTGTTTTGTATCATTAGAAAAAAGAATTGGGTTTTGAGCCAAATGGACATTACCTAGTTAATGTAAATGGAAGTAAATTAATCATACCCCCCTGGTAAATTTTTTCTTTTTTTTCTCTTTTTCTTTTTTTTCTTCTTTTTTCTTTTTTTTCTTTTTTTTTCTTCTTTTTCTTTTTTCTTTTTTTTTTTTTTTTTTCTTCTTCTTTTTTTTTTTTTTCCTTTTCTTTTTTCTTTTTTTTCTTCTTTCTTTTTCTTTCCTTCTTTTTTTTTCCTTCTTTTTTCCTCCTTTGTATTTTTCTTAACTCAAGAATAAAAGGTGGACTGGATGAATTTTGGGCCTTTGTTGAATACTTTTAGACGTACAGTAGGCTTTAATATGTCGCATTCTCAAGAAACATAAATCAGGATGAATCAATTTTTCGCATGCTTCAAAAATTACAAAACTTGGCAAGGGTATAAATTTATAATTTAGTTGTCAACTGTATCATGTGTAAAATGATGAGTTAATGCCCATCTAGCTCCAAACACATATCATAAACACATACAAATGTACACATGTACAAATGTAAATAAACACATGAGAATCCTTATTTTGATAAGTTTTATTACAATCTTTATTCATAACATACTGCTTGCTGGGCATAAAAATAAGACTACACCATGCCGCCTACTTCTTCATAATCAGAATCCCATGATTACCAAATATAATAATATGAACAGTAATTTATACACAAGAGGGGGTATATGTTGATGTTTACAAAATGACATCGCCTTTATTATTAGCATGGCAACTGCAGCTTTCTCTAAATATGAAATATGACAACTTGTAATCATGTCTACGTGTTTTGTGCCGCTTTGTGTGAAATAAATGTGAAATTATTGGGCAATAAAGAGGCAGTAAGCTTTAGGTATTTCTCTGCTAACATTCTTTGCTCTTAAATGCAATCTGGACTTCATGCTAAATGTTTGTCAGTTTTGCCAACCTGCATGTTGTATATAGGTTTACAAGTGAGTGGTGCATTTGTTTGTACTCTGACATTGAGCACAAATTTCAATGCAAACTTTGGGATGGTAAAAACAAAGAAACTTGTTTCAAATTATTCTCCAATCCACTCGGCAATAATAACCAACAGTCCAGCACCTACATGTACATAGGTGTATTGCATTATGGCAGTTGACTGGGAAGAAAGATTCTAAATAGAGCGGAGAAGTGACAGTGAGAGAAAAGCATGTTGCCAAATTTTGTAAAACAAATTGTAGAAATACTCTCAATTAGATTGAGCTATGCGTCGGATGGGCTACAGGCTTGAAAAAGTTTCATAGTTACATCATATACTGTACAGTACATTGTTTTTTGATGAGCTATATTTTTTCATTCTTAAAACTAATTGACTTACTGTTCCCCTCTTGCTTTGTAAGAGACTTGAATATTGAGATTTTGAATGCTAGAATTAATTGTCTTACTCCTTCACTTAACAAATCAAATATTCTTAGATAAAATTTACAAGTACATGTATCATGATTAGTTGTACTTTTGCAGACACTACATATATGACACTAAATAAACATAACCAAAATATCTTTCTTTAGAGATGAAATCATTTTTTAACTTTCAAATGAAAAAGGAAAGCAGTACAAAAACTAAACAATAATGTGTACATGATGAAATAACTAAATATTGCCCAAGTGAATAAACTATAAGATTATGATTAAAAATACTAACCTACAATGCCAATACAATCATATATGCGCATGATCCTAAATGTGGCATTAACTAAGGTACAAAGTGCATGCATGTCCAAGTTTAACACATAGAAAAGTCTTGAGTGATATAATCAATTACAATCTTGCAAAGTGCATTTAATAAATCGGGTGAAAATTAGGTTATAATTATATAAAAGGGAATGGAAGGACACATGCTTGAGAAAAAAATAAAATAAGATGACGATAATGTCAAAAATTAACTGAATGATTGTCCAAACCATTACAAATGTGGGGGGGGGGGGGGTATCAACGTAAGAGAGGGATAGAGAGAAAGAGGGAGAGACAGATAATTGATGATTAAAAACATGATAGCATAGAATCCGAAAAATGAGACAAAAATGGGCCACATGCCTCACATATCATCATAGAAAGGCCGATACAAAACACATGATTTCACATGAACAGACATCTTTGGGGTTTTTTGCTAATCGCCAGCATTTATCTAAAACTCAACTTTTAATCCATAATCATACACTTCATGATTAAATTCCAAAATTAAAAAAGCAACTTGCATTTACATTTTTCTTTTCTAAAGGAAAACAATCATGCAAAATATTTAGAAAGCAAATTAAACATTGGATTAGCAACATGATTTTTCTTTCAATACATATGAAAATACAATAAATTTACATAAACTCTGCCGATGATTTGTTTTACGGTAACAATACATTTAATAATAATGAATTTGGTAAGTAAATATGCAGAAGATAAATTTGCAACATGATTTTGAAATTCAAATAGATAGCCATCTCATTTTGACATCTAACATATCCACATTAAAGCAAGGACTACATGCAGTTTATAGAAAAACATTGCAGTTCTTTTTGAAAAGTGCACATTATAAAGCACTTACATGAGCCATTTACAAGCAGGAGAAAAAAAGTAAATTCAGTAAATCTCTTTTTTCCTGTGTACCGGGTATGCATATTTTACCCTCAGTGTTAATTTAAGACCTCCTTTTTATCACTTAATACGAGTCAATAAATGGAACATAGGAATAACAAATAAAGAGTACAGGGGCTGTATATTACATTGGAAAAATAAATCAGCATTCGTAAAAGCTAGAGCCAAAAAGGCTTTAATACAATGCATGTCACTGTCCCTACATATGGAACCCTGTCGTAGAAAAAATGGCGTAAGAGACATTTATCACTTTCCAAAACATACTAATCTCTTGTAGGGGTAGTACAGGGCTAAAAGGCAATTACTACTTATCACACAAAAAGTGTGTTTTTCTAGATTCTCACACTCGTCGTGTGTACTCACAGATGTTACCTGGTCGACGCAAAAAGGGCCTAAGAGACTACAACATGAAGGGGGGTCTTTGGATGGTTGATTCTCATGCGAGAAGCTTCTTGATTTCGGGATCGTCTGTGGAATCGATGTACGATGAGCCGTTGGGTGCATTGCCGGATTTGTCAGCGCCCTGAATGTGAAAATGATAAAAATAATAATATCAAAAAACCATTAATGTATAGTGCATTGACAAGCAAGTTTAATACAAGATATCACCGTCAATAATTCCTGCATAAAGCATTTACAGCGAGTGTAGCCTGACAAGACTATGTGTCTTTCCCGTGGCCCGACTCAGGGCCAATCAGGTATGATACGACTACGGACGACGCGACCGCAGCAATCACGTGCATGCAACATACGCGAAACCGAAGCGTGAGGAGAACTTGGGTCTGTTTCGCAAACGCTGACCATGTAGAGATTTAGTCGCTGACTACGTTAATCAAGTCCATTCATTTAAGTGCAGTTGTCCAAAAGAAGACGTAGATGGTGTTAACCAGTATTTGCCAAGCTACACTATCTTTAAAGTTACATAGCAAACAAAAAGAAAAGAAAATCTTCATTTTTTCCTTAAAAACAATACTGCACTGATGCAGTTCTACCCTAGCATACTGTTAACTTCACAGCGTCATCTCCTGGTCAACTTGCCGACAGTGTATAACCCAATATCTAATTTCCATCTAGTAGACAAAGGACTCAGTGCGAGAACCAACAGCGCAGCTAAGGAAGCAGCGAGTTTCAGGACCATACTGCTACAGCTGACCGGAGATGGAGCTAGAGGGGATTTGCAACAGCGCTTCTAGTACAGTAGGGCTTTAAAGACAACATCGATCGCTTTTTTTTATTGAAATCTGCAACAATGTTTCTTTTTCAGTTGCTACAAAGTATTTATAAAAGACCATGTACAATTTTGCTCAAAATAAAGTGAAAAATTTGAATGATGAAAAGTTAGAGATTGCTAATTTATGCTGAAAAAACAGTACAATCTCTGTCTTTCAATTGAAATTGTCTATGTATACACCCTTGTTATGTATCTATTATCATTCAGTTTTGATTATGCATGTTTTCCTTTTGCATAATAAACAAGATGAATATATACAGACAAACGAATACCCTCAAAGGCTATAATTTTGCAAATTTGTATGAGACCTGTTCAGTGTGCTGGGTTCAACTCTCAGACAGGCCGAACACTGTTATTGACTTATTTCTGGCCGTTTCCTTTTCTCAACAAAATATATAGAACACCAACAAAATCATGAAAATATCTATTTAATCTTGGGTTAGTAGAAGTCATGTTTGTTCTCAAAAATAGTCTTGTATCAAGACTTTCATGTGGAACATTTCTACATCCCGTCCAAATCACATCATACGCAATGTTACCAATCAAATGCGCAGATTCATTTTGAGATGGAATAATAATAAATCTGAAAACTGTTGCTATGTAAGACTTACCTTCTTTATGAGGTACTTTATACAGTTTTTGAACCGTTCTTGCCCTTCACTGCCGTAGATAGCTGTTAACAAGACTGTGAGTTTGTTATTATCTATTGCCTGTAGTTAAAGAAAAGAAACAAGATATAAAAGATTATCATAAGAAAGCCATAAGCCAGTTTTCAGATACAATCTTTGCGTGGGCAGATAACGGTCATTAGTATCGAAATTGGAAAAAACTCGAGAAATGAATACTTGATACGTACTCGTGAAATTTGTGTAATATTCATTTATTCCCTGACAGCACATTCTTTGATACACAACTGAAAATTCTTCTTCTCAAGAGAAGTTATAGTTCCTAGTGGACCTTTCGGAAGAGACGAACACAAGGTAACAAAAGGTATTCATGAAGCACCTCCATCATTTTTGGCAGTGATTGTTCTTGCATGCACAAAGGGACATTTCCATGTGTAAAAGAAGGGGATATTTGGGGATCATTTGTACCGTAGCTAGCTAGTAGATAGTCTAGTGACATGAACGGTCAGCCGTCTGTCTTGGCCTACAAACTGACCTTAATGGTCGGTCCCACAAGTTAACAATCATAACTGACTGATACACGTCTTTAAAAAACTAAAATCCAAATTACACAGAAAATATTTGACAATATTCAGCAGGTTTAAGCACCCTATCTTACGGCGAAAGACCAAATCTCTACTCTTTACATTACCAAAGGGAAAGAGGGGACATGATCCAGGGTTTCAAGATATTTCATGGAATAGATAAAATTGATCCAGAATGTTTTTTGTGAAATCACAGTATCAGAGCAAGATTCTGTTCATTGAAGTTACTCACTACTCGCTGTCGATTGAATGTCAGGAGTAAATTTTTTAGAAAACGGGTCATCCAGTCTTGAAACAATTTACCAGTGTCTCTAGTAACTGCTACCAGCATCAATTCATTTAAACAAAGCTTGGATTCTTTTGGGTCAGACAAACACTTTGTAATACATAGTCTGACATCCACGCATGCACTGATTTATAGACCTTTACTAATGTACCAAGTGATCTGACAAGGAGACCTACAGGATATCCTACACTCCCATATAGATGATGATGATGATGAATACATTCACGATGATTCAGTACTGTATACTTACGTTAATGTCCGCCTGCTTTTGTTCCACTAAGTACTCAATGACCTCTGCCTGGCCATAGTCTGCTGCCACATGAAGTAACGTTCTCCCCTTGATTTTCTCATTCGCGTCAAACTGGACATGAAAACAAGACAATTACAAATTATTTGGTACAATTAAAATTACTCAGGATGTATTCAGATAGTCCAAGACAAATTTGATTTGATTGTAATGTAAAATTTGTAAGAGAATTTTCTACGTTTGTGTCTAGATCAATCTAATGTAGATCTAGGACTAGATGTATGTCTATTCTGTAGTGTAAATCTGGAAACTCCACGAAACGACTTTCAAATTTTTGATTCACCTCCTCTGAAAAAGAAGTGATTAACATTGGCATTGCTCATCTTAGCTCCAATTATATTTTGGAATGGAGCTGAGCCAAAAGTTAACAGAAAGGGCATCCACAGAATGAAGGGATCAAAAGTTTCAGCATAAATACAGCTGACAGATTTGACCAACCTTTTATAGGTCTAGTACAATCTCATTATAGAAGGAGTAAAAAATATTGATTAAAAAGTCTGTTTCACTTTCAGTTTCAGCACTGATCATGAGTGACGAATCACAATCCTTGAAATGGTAGCATTAGCCATTAAGTTAGATCCCAATAGTCTAGGCAATAGAACTACCTAGAGTTCTATACCTGACTAAGCCTCAGAGGAATATATAACAAAATGTTTGTCAATTTAAAGTAAAATATTACTTGCGCATACACAGACGCTAGTCTAGACTAATCTAGTTTGAATTTGGCTAACGAAAATAGTTACGCCCTTTTGTCAAAGTCCACCAACACAAAATTCAATACACGGGACAGTTATGATGATTTTGACATGGTTATAACAGTGAGAAGGGAGTGCAAAAACGTCAGCTTTCGGCGAGTTACCTGTAATTCTTGGAGCTTGCTAACATCTCCATTTTGAGCTGCCCAAACAGCATCTGCCATTTTCGAACAAGTAAATTGTTTTTCTCAACCTCAACAGGCAATAAAATGTGGATTTTTATCTACAATCTCGTCTAGGAGTCGTCAGCTCTCTATATCTCAAGTGCGGAAGTACTTACTATCCGATTGCAACGATCGCATTTATTAGGCGTGGATATCGAAAAGATGGGAAGAAAGAAAGAAAGAATGAAAGAAAATAAAGAGAGAAAGAAAGAAAGAAGAAAGAAAGGAAGAAATAAGAAAGTAAAGCAAAACTTTTTTTTGGGGGGGGGGGGGGGGGGCGGGGTAATTGAGCTTATGAATTTTTAGGTTAAAAACAAACATCATTTTGCTATAACTAGCTATTCTGCTATATAACAATAGATCTAGGCAAAAAAAAGAAAGAAAACTTTTAATGAAAGCATCATTTTTTATTTTTTTTTGTTTTTTGGGTGGGGGGGGGGGGGGGGGTGAATGGCCAGGGGGGTAATTTTTAGAGGGGGTTATTTTCCATGGTGGGGGGGGGGGGGCTGGGGGGGGGGGGGGGGGTAATTGTTCCGCTGGTAATTGGCTGGGGGATATTGTCCAGGTAATTGTAATTGTCCTACATATCATGGCCTAAATTCATATTAGGTCCAGCTTAATAATCCATGGTATAAAACCTCCATTAGTATTAAGCAAATATTAATCGACTACGACTACTATCATCCCGAGCCGCACCGCGAGTGATGATGGTAGCCCCGAGATCACTGAGGCGATGATAGTTTGTATCCATTGCCCGAGTACAGGTTGTTAATATTTGTTTTATATCCCACATCGGCAATAAGGTCTATTTAAAGTGAATTTTACATAATCTAGCTGAAGCTAAACTGTCTGGAGAATTCAGCTAGATTTTACAAAGCGCAACACGCATACAATTAATGCACGGGCGTAAATCCTTACGTAATACCTATTGTTCAGGGGGGATGATCTATTCCTTCATCCCCCCCCCTGAACAATAGGTATTACGTAAGGATTTACGCCCATGATACAATGTAATGAAGTCGATGGGCGCTCATTTGACATTGAAATTGGAATTGATATATTGCGTAACCTACTTTGCTATACACATATTCAATGGCAAGTGGGGCAGCAGCAAAAAGTTCCCTTACAAAAGACCTATCTCAGGTAGATAGTACTTATCTATCTTTTATCATGTGACCTCGTTTAGACCAATCAGATTGCAAGACTCTTAGTATGCGGGATATAAAGTATACATATGAGCTCATGTCCAATGGTATAATACAGGATATCCTATGATGTTTTTGTTTTTAATAGTTTAAGGCGCGTTTCACTCAGTTGTGAATATTTATGCCATAAACTTCCCAAAGAGTTGAACCTTGGCCAACGTAACGTTAGTTTCAGTTACTATCTTGGCCCTTTATAATGTATGCTTATTTTAAGCTTGTTTAAGTCCTTTGTGAATTAATATGCAGGCCCATATGCAATATGCACATACAATAACAATGGAAGAGTAATTCAACAATAATACATGCAAACGATAATTATGTTAATGTGGAGTTTTTTCATTTTTCTGCTTGTAAAACTTTATTACTGTAAAAAGTCGGAACTATTAAAGTTGTTCCTAGACATCCATGCTCTTACAGGAGACTTTTATCAAATAAAATCACAATAGAGTACATATCATATTTTCTTTCCAACATACAGGGACAGATAGACTCTTTGTAGAAATTTGTAAGTATAGAATCATTTTTAATTGCAATGTTATAGAAAGACATACAGAATCAAATTATTAAAATCAAATGGCTTAGAAATACATTAACAACAGAGAAAAGGTTGACACAATTACATACATTTTTCTCTGAAATGTACACCAAATAAAATTATCGGGGATGCTCAATATTTGTATAATCTATACGATAGTTATAGGAAATACAAGTATAATAAAAATTTAAATATCAACATATACACTATCTGCAAGTAATGTAATAGTCTTCTTTGCAATAAATACATTTTTATATTTGTACAGGGATAAATCTTTCCTTTGATACACAAAATATATAAAAATGTATAGGTTAACATACATGTATATATACAAGTGTGAATAATTTTCATCACAATAAATAAATGTGTACCGGTACACTTTTACATGGATAACATTTTTCACTGTAGATATATGGTACAGATTAATTGCAGGGATATCTAGAAATTTACGTTTGAAACATGTATACGGTATGTAAATATGCTGTGAGAAAATTAGCTAATAAATACATAGATATATATATATATATATATATATATAAAATGAAAAATAGTTTTTCTTTGAAATGGTGTTTCACAGACATTTCTCGCTGTATAGACCTTTTTTTTCATTGATGGCTAGAACCTAAACATTATACCTCTTTTCTCACACATATAAAATGTATTCATACAGTACGTTAACTCTGCATAAGTTGAATTGTTTGAACCACAACAAATATGACTTATGCAACATTCAAGTTTTTTGAAGATGGCTAGAACCAAAACAATTTACCTCTTTTCTCACTTATACAAATATACATATATATATTCAGTTAACTCTGCATAAGTCCAATGTGTTGGGACTATATACATAGTTTGACCTATGCAAAATTTGATTTTTTTTTTTTTTTTTTTTTGTTTTTTTGTTGTTGATGGTTATAGAACCGAAACAATTTACCAGTATCTCTTTTCTCACACATACAAATCTACATATAAATACAGTTAACTCTGCATAAGTCCAATGTGTTGGGACCATATAAATAGTTTGACTTATGAAAAATTCAACTCGAGAAGTGTAAATAAAACATGTTTCGCATAGTTTGGTACACAAAATTTGATTTGACTTTGGGAAAATTTGACCGATTTTCCAGTAACTGCATATATCTTTCTGTTTCATTTCTTTCCAAAGCTAATTTAAGTTAGATTTGGGCTCTAAGTTAACTCAATAAAAACAAACTTCTATTTACATGAGCCACTGCATGGTTCTTGATTGCAGGCTATATGTGTTAATACTGATAATAAGCTAAATTGGCAACAATTTAATACAGCTAGCAGTTGCAGGACTATAAATCAACCATGAGTTCCTGGTGAACTACAAGTATACCTCCATTTCGTTGAAGCTTGCATAAAAAATTAAGCGTTTCAAAGGAAATTTCAAAATTCTCAGAGACAGAGAGAGAACGCAGCTCCCTCGTTGGTGATATATGAAGAGCATTTTGGTTTAGATCTTCATGATTTTGATGCTGTTTACAAGCTGACTTGAAGCAACAATAAATTGTTGGTGTAACTAGAGTAGGACACCACTACATCTTCAAAGATGCTTTAATATATATGAAATCCAATGAAGAGTATATTAGTAATGATGTAATAAATAATTAATAATGCTACTCATATTTTTGTAACTAGTTGTGTTCAACCCTGTTGGCGATAAGACCTGTTTGAATGAAGATATACTCGCATGCTCTATGGCAGTCTGAAATCACATTCTAAGGCACAATGCAAAATCTCTGGGATTGAGAGAGGGGGCTCCATTGCTAATGATGTGAAGAGCATTTTGGTTTATTCTTCAGGATATCGGTGCTGTAAGCCAAGTTTGTAGGAGGGCATAACTGAGGCAACCATAAGTTCTTTGGTGAAACTGGAGTAGGCTTCCACGATATCTTCAAAGATCATCATATGACCTTTATCAAAGACAAAAAGTAATGTAAATGTTATTGACATCAAGCAATGATCTATTATAATATTATTCTGTGTCCTCTCCAAACATATTGGTAATGGCGATTAATGCCTTACCAAAGGGCACTACTGTATCAACTTGGTTTCTACATTGATTTCTTGTGTGGACCAAGGACCTCCCAGTTACAGGGCTACTGCTCTCTACTACTTAGCCATCAACCATTGACCATGGACCCATGCAAGACCACTCATAACTTCAAACCTACACAAGGAATTAAAGACACTTATGTTTCAACCTAAAAAAGAGGCGATCATTATTCTCACCTGGCTGTCTGTTCTCAGGCAGGGTCACGATGATGTGCCGGAAGTACTCGACAACGGAATCGATCATGGCTTCGACATCATGCTCGTTGGGCACAATCTGACAAATCTCCTGGAGAATGTGTATCAGCCAAGACATGTTCAAACTGCTCAGATATGTGACCTTGCAAAAGAAGAAATAAATTCAAACAACATTCCTTGTTAATCTCTGTTTTGTATCTCTCTCTCTGTCTCTCTAAAACCTTTTGTGCTTGCATGAAATATTTACAGATTTCATGAGTGGTTCCGATTTGGGAAAGTTTCATCCAAGTTTGGTTTTGATCTTGTAACAAAAAATTGCTCTTTACAATTAATGACAGCTTCATGTCACGAATAGTTCTGGTTTGAGTGTTTCTGCCTCCCCCTTCTCTCTTTGATTTGATTTGATTTGATTTGATTTATTGGTTTCTGCATCTTTTTTTCCTTTTTTTCATCATACATTTTCATGAACATAATATGGTTTGATACAATATTTTAAGTGTATATAATTTTATACAGATATTAAACGAGATTAAACAAATATATTGAATGCATAATTAACATACATTAGATGCAGGAGGGTTACAGAAATAAGCAGAGTAGCTTGACGTGCCCGCAGCCCTCAACTTAGATACAACAATAAAAAATATAAATAAAAAAGAGTGTGACTTGCAGAGAAGAACAGGAAAGGAGAGAGAAGGAGCGTTGGTAATTATCTTTCTTTCTCCCTCTCTCTCTTTATCTTTCTTCCTCCCTCTTTCTCTCTGTTTCTCCTTGTCTCTGTCTCTGTCTGTCTGTCTGTCTCTCTATGTCTCTCTCTCTCTCTCTCTGTTTCTCTCTGTTTCTCTCTTTTTCTCCCTCTCTCCCTCTCTCTCCCTCTCTATCTATTATCTCTGGGATTCAGTTACCCCTACTCACCAGGGCCAGTGCAACGATGACCGAGCTTAGTTGAGATGTCTTGCCATTAATCGCCTTGCTGGCCAGCACTGGAACACACACCCCTTCCCCACACATCACCAGCAAGCGGGCCATGTTTTCAGTCTGCCATTCAGTTGGGCATCCTACAGATATACAGATATAGGAGATTGTGTTGCATGAAATGAAATAGGGGGGAGGGAAGGAGTGAGGGAGAGAGAGGGAGGGAGGGGAGAGAGAGAGAGAGAGAGAGGGAGAGAGAGAGAGAGAGAGAAAGGGTTAGGACACAGGAGAGAAAGGGGGAAGAAGAGAGAAAGAGAGGGGAGAGGGAAAGAGGGGAGTGGGAGAAGAAGAGAGAGGGGCATGCACACAGGCACATAGAAGAGAGAGAGAGAGAAAACAGAAAAATAGACATAAAGAAAGAAACAGAAAGAGGGAAAAAGAGAGAGAGAAAGAGAGAGAACAAGAAAGAGAGGTCAGTCAAATGAGACATAACCTGTGTGAGACGATGTTTACTGGTATATTTCCACATTACTAGGTTCATGTACCTCTTCATGCGAGAATTGGCAATTTTTCATTGTTATCTAAGTTAGATATAAACTTAGTATCAAATATTAAAATTACAACTACAATTGTCCCGCCCATGTTTTAATACGGAGAGAGATAAGAAGGAAATGAGCCCATGTACATGCTAAAGGAAGGGTGATTCAACAATAAATAACAATAATTTTGTGTCAGCAGAAAACAGATGTTTGGAGTGTAGCTAATTCCATTTGCATCAAAATGAATCACTCCCCTTATACCTGCAAATTCTTTCAGAATACTGATGACACTGTTGGTGTTCCAGTCCTGATAGAATTTACGTTGCAACAAACACCAAACTAACACTAAACACTCTACCTGTGTTATTGTGTTTGTGCAGAGATTTACATTACACCAAACACCAAACGAACACTTAACACTTTACCTGTGAGTTCTTCAAGAACACTGATGACACTGTCTGTGCTCCAGTCCTTGTGTTTGTACAGGGCTTTGATGGCCACAGCTAGGTCTCTGAATGGGGCAGAGCTGAGAGGAGCCGAGATCGGATCATCGTTGGTCATGAACGTCCAATCTATCTGGTCTAGTAATGATAAAAACAAAAACATACACAATACAGGGTGTAAGATCAATTTCAGATGGATTTTTTCTCTCCCTCTTTCTCTCCATTTGACGTAATTGTCCTCCTTTGTTTCTTCTCTTTAGATCTCTCTCAAATTTCTCTCTTTCTCTTAAAGTCTCCCTCTCTCTCTCAAACTTACTCTCTATATAAAATAAATAAATAATAGAGGTTTACACTGGGTAGCATAAACAGCCTTGCCTAGTGGACCATAGAGTAATGATAAAATTACCCTTTTTTACCCCACCCCTATAATATTCCCTCTCCTCCCCCCCCCCCCCCCTCTCTCTCTCTCTCTCTCTCTCTTCCCTCTTTACCTCTAGTTCTGCTGAGTGGTCCATAGAGCAGTAGGAGCAGCCTGGCTTGATGGACCATAGGGTAGGGTTTCAGGATGAAGTGAAGCCACATAGCTAGATCCTCCATGGAATCGCACTGGTCCAGGACCACACCACGCAGGAAAGACCTCACCTCCATCTCTAGCCCAATCTTGGCCCCGGCCTTGCCTGCCAGAATGCTCGCTGTATAAGACATAAGAATTAGGTCAATTTAACATTCTACAATTCTTACTATTTTTAGTGTTGTATTTTATGTATTTTTAAAACTTGCTTGTGAAGGATTCAGCCATTGGCTGTTGATTATATTTTGTTTCTATACCATGACTTAAATAAATGAATATATAAATAAATAAATAGTGCAGCTCCTGAAAATAAGTGTATCTTCAGCAAAACTTTGAAGACAGCAACAGATGAGGCTCTTCTTGTGTCTAGTGGTAGGCTATTCCAGAGATTTGGAGCAGCGCAACTGAAAGTGTAATCTCAAAGAGTTACTTTTATTTTTGTGTGAGGTTACTCACAATCATAAGTGATACATACTCATAATATACGTGGGCCTACATGTGGTAGTACAATGTAACTTCAGAAAAGTCCACGTATTGTTAAAATAAGGTTCATACAACAATCGGTTTGTGTTATCCTCTTCTAACATGAAGGGGTTCATGTCTAATTGAAACATACATGTAATCATGTAGCATATCAATGAGCTATAATATTGAAGATGTTGTGAAACATGATGTCCAGTGAGTTTGTGTAGATTTCATGATAACATGTCAGAAATTCATATTTAAGTGATCCTAAGGCATTTGCTAAACAGAGTGGAAAGGGTTCACAACTGCACCACAATCCAGTTTTCTATTCTCCCTCATTTTGAAGGGACATAAATGTATGAAGTTCTTTGGACATCCCATGTTTTATTCACAGGTTTTGAGGCCAAGGTTCTGATGATCGATGATAGCAAAGTATGCTCGATGGCACTTTTTTTTCTTTCCATCCTTTCACAAAGATGCCGAGGAAGGGGGGAGGAAGCATTATGACCATCCAGTTCCCCCCTCCTTCCTCAAACTAAAATGACATGTAAAAGTCCCATGTTTTATACTCACCAATCTGGAGGCCAAGGTTCTGATGATCAATGATAGCAAAGTATGCTCGATGGCACTCTTTTTCCTCCCATCCTTTCACAAAGATGCTGAGGAACTGACCAAAGCAGTAGTTGACCCTCGTTGATTCGATCTTGACGCTGCTGGTCAGCTTGATGATGATATGAAGCACAAATACAAATATGTTCACATGGATACTATTATACATGTACACATATGGTTTCATTACAGATGTTTTTTGAGCAAATTTGATAGATAAATATTTGAATAGAGATATATTGTGATATATATCTCTGTATTTGTACCACTAACAACTTATGTAATTTCAGTTAAAGAGAGCTTCTAACATATCAAAGAATGCATCACTTCACTTGATAAACTTGTTTAAAAAATATAAATAAGAGGCCTACAGTGTATACCATAAGAACAACTGAAATAATGCATTAGAATAATTTGAACCTGTTTTTTTTTTAATCTGCAATTTTTGCCCCAGCAGGGGAAAAAGGCACAAATGTTAATGAATTCAACTTGATCGGCCAGTAGTATATAAATTTGGATGGTAGCTACATGTAGAACCATTTTATTTGTGTCTACTAGTTAAATGAATTTCTCTCAGTCCCATAGACTTAATACAGGAACTACCCAGGTGGTTCCTATTTTAAGTCTATGGGACTGAAAGAAATTAGGTTAATTAAGGGCATGAATTGGATATAAATCGTAGATAGGTAGGTAATTACCTCTTTAAACAAAGTTTCCATCAGTCGTAGTCTCTCCTTTGTGGGGTACAGGCAAGTAGACCGTTTCACCAATAAACCTACAAGGAATAGAGAGAGAGTTCAAATCTATTACAAAGTCAATGCTCTCATGTCTCACTTTGTTATCTTTTCTACATGCCCTTCAAAACCCTAACCAGTACCCAATATATTTACAAATCAGTTCTTGCAATAAAGTTGCAATAAAATCAAAACTCTTCTTTGGAATAGTTAGGAGGAAATGAATCCAAGATCCAAGATCCAAGAAGGGAATGGGCTGGAAGCATTGATGCATTGTTCAATAAATATCATACAGAATTCCTTATTTTATAAAATGATTTCCAAAATATTTTCAACTAATAGCTTTCTGGAGCAATACTGGAAAGTCAATATTTGTCCTGACTGTTGACAGAAATAAAAAAAAACAGTGAAGGCTTGATTACATATACTGTAAATGTATGTTGCAGTAAACAATGGCAAATTAAGAGGATCTGTAACAAAAGGGGTTTATCTGTCTGTTATACAAGATACAGGATGTGAGGTTACAGTTTGTTTTTTTGCTGCATAAAATAGTTACAAGGCTCAAGGAAGCCATGATTTTGCATAAAACTACTTTACAGGTAAAAAAAACTGTCAGACTGTCAACCAATTAATATCTTGTCTTATTAATTAAAGACACATTTATTCAAAATTGCTTCTGATGATTAACTTAATCTGTGCACATTGATGTACATTTCATATGTTTTGTACTTTTTTGTTCAATAATTAATTGTTTGTCATTGTATTTTGTTTCTTTATAGTGCATAGAGACTTCAGTGGAAAGCATTTTATAAGCACCGTTTTAGCATTATTATTATGACACCTTACCCAGATCTTTGAAGCAGTAGCACAGGTCAATCTTTTTCTTCTTGCTTTTACTCTTGGCACAGCCTATGGAGAGGAGTTTGGTAATGCCTTGCTTGGTGAGGTTATACGCCATGACAATGTCTCGTAAGGACTTGGAGACTAGAGTAAGGTAGCTGAGGTCCATTGCTATAGAAAAGAAAAACAAATAAAAACTCAACATATCATAAAGCAAAGCTTTACAATACCAGGAAGGGGTCTGGGATTCTCTATGCATGAGCGCTATACAAACATTTTTTTTTTTTTTTTTTTTTTTTTTTTTGGGGGGGGGGGGGGGGGTCCATAATTCGAACTTATGTTTTGTGTCCCAGGCACCTATTTTAGTGTTGAACCCTTCATGAAGCTAGGCGGGCAGGCAAGTTATCATTGGAAGTAATAATTATCATAATGGTATAATTTGTGGCATAAGATTTTACAGCTTGTGTTAATCAACATTGACATGTATAATCTAACCTAGATATGAAAACACTATTCATGTACATTGTATGTATCTGCCTGTATTCAACTTCAGAATAATGATAATAGAATTGGAAATATCCATCAAAGATTGTGTACTTTCTCCTCCACTTATTAAACCACTTTAAATAGCAATTAAAGCTGGCCCACAAATAAATCAATCATCATTTGTAATGACAAATAAATCAATCATCATTTGTAACGAAAATCAGATAGATGTGTAAAACTGAGCTATTCCTATCAGCTGCAAGGCAGATGGATCTTTTTGCAATATTATAATCATATCAGTCAACCACTCCCCACAAGGAAAACTATAAAATTACATACATGTAGGGGTCAATTACATAATAATTCAGTTTAAATAACATAAGAGGTACATGTATATAGCTCCAATAAATGTTTTGATGTACTATAATTGCTACATGGTATAAGAACTGCATGCCACTTATCATTTCTTTCATTGAAAACTAAAATTTAAATAAATTTCAGTTGAAATCTTTGGTAGACAAAATAGAGGTATCTTATCTTACTTAGATGTGAAAACACTAACTTTAAAAAAGGGATAAGTTTTCTATAAGCTCATTCGCTTCAATGTGAATATAGAAGTCTACTCAAATTGGTTTTTAAATGTGCTTTAGAACTTACTTGGGAGCTTTGAAAAGATGATGTACATGATTTCTTGCGGGAGGACAGAGAAATAGCCAAGGGGAGCATTGACCATGAAATCACCCAACTCTTTCTCCTCCATTTTCCTCTGCAGTCGCTTGCTTCTTCTGCCTGCGATCCCATTTGTACAAGAGGACTTGGACTTGGAAGCTTCCATTTTCTTGAGTAGATTAAATAAGAGAAAAGACAAGCATGAAAAATAAATTGTGTTATTATTGCAATGTTCCTTTGTTAGATCTACTTTAACACAGATTTAATGCCCTTCTGGTTCGGAACAGATGACGAATATTATTACATGCACACTATAACAAAGCAAAATTCAAAAAGTGTTAACTCTTTCTGGACAATTAACTGGACCCAAGGGTAGGGTTTCAGGATAAACGGCCGAGTAGATTGGCGCTGGTGCGCTTTTGCACAGGTTGCTATATACATTTATTTAACTGTGATTGCGTTAAGTAAAATGCAAGGGAAAGACCTAGCTAGAGGCTAGAGTCTATATCGTTGAATGTATTTTAAACTCCGCCTACCGGTAGGCCTAAAGTAGTAGTAGGCCTAGATTCTATGTGTAGACTATCTCTGCCTCGACCGGTAGATATTTTCTCCAAAATCATGATCTCCCCATCATTCTCCTCCTCCTTACCTACGTCCTACCAAGTCCTACTGTCGTAGACCTAGATCTAGTCATACTCGAGACACTTTTTGTATGTAGCCAGCCCTAGCCTAGCCCTAGCTCTGCTCGACTGCAGTCGAGCAGAGTGATGTTGCATGTAATGAACGATGATAAGCATTCAGCAGTCGACTCTGATCATCGTTCACAACCAACAACATCATTTTGCTAAACTTAGACCCCTAGGTCTAGATTTGGCTAATCAAAGTGTGAATGGTGATAAGCAGATCTGTGTCAAAAGTGCTCTATCCAACTTGATCATTCTATTTCTTTCTAATTCCAACAAAAAGTTAAGACCTGGAGTCTGGACTGGTCCTGGATTAATTAAGCAGGCAGGAATGCCATTGTGACTGTCATTGCGGCATTGGCTTTGCAAAGGGCCAGGACCTGGTCCTGACTCCTGGTGTGAAAGTGTAATAGATTCTTCTAACGTTAGATCTAACTGTTAGACCTAGAATCTGGTGCCGTAGATTTAGAGGTTTGTAAAGAATTAAAGAAAACATTGACTTCATTACCGATTTTCTAGGTCACGGATCGGACTCAGCTCAGTAAGGTGTCAGCCCTGGCCGAACTCTGGCTGTCGCGGTAAAGTCTAGACTCTAGATCTTCCTCGGGGCAGTCCTCCGCGCTGAGTCACGCGTGTCTCGTCGGCGGTACGGTGGAGCTCAGTCAAAGACAGTTCCGGAGAGCCTGCAACTCAATCTGAGCAGTTGATTTTGAACATCAAAGTCCGACTTGCACACAACCAACTTCGCAAAAAAGTACTCAAAATCCAAAAACAGAATTGTACTTCCTTCAAATATAATTGCTGCCGCTGTTATAAACTCTAATCATGGGTGATTATAAGTAGATATAATACCATATTATTAAGCACAAACTTGACAAAGTATTGTTTACAAATTTCCGGACGACAGCTGATTGATATCGTTTTCCGATATAATCGGTATCGACTGATTGATTTCCGAGGTCAATGACTTGTGTTTTATTTTTAATGCAGATTTACTGATTTACGCTTTCTATATATAACTTTTGAATATAGTGATGAGCGAGTCCTCATGAAAAAAAATTATATTATAAGAAGCCATATATAAATGTATATATATATATATATATATTGTGTCATGCTTGAAAAAAGAGAAACTGAAAGAGAGACGTACAGAGAGAGAGAGAGGGGGGAGAACTGGAGAGAGAAAGATAAAAAAGAACAAAGGGAGAGAGAGAGAGAGAGAGAGAGAGAGAAAAGACAAAGAAAGAGACAGAAATGGAAAGATAAAGATAAATTAAGAGAAAGAAAGACAGATAAAGAATGAGATAAACAAATCAATAAAAGAGATACAAAGAGAGAGAGAAAGAGAGAGAGAGAGAGAGAGAAAGAAAGAGAGAGAGAGAGAGAGAGAGAGAGAGAGAGAAAGAAAGAGTGACAGAGAGAAAAAGTGAAGTATCCCCACCCTGCAAAATATACAACATACAAAATAAGCCAAGTAATGCACTAAAATATGCCATATACCATGATCATTCTCAATTTATTTGATAAATATAATCTGAAACATTTTATTTACAAAGTTACACATACTGCATTGAAATCATTAAAAACAAAGAGCTGGAAATGTCCATTCCACACACTCAAGCTGATTGTCATTATTTTATATTTTAAATCATGTACTAATTGTGCCATTCCTGTGAATCCCATCCATCACACTGTTTTACACTTTTAATCCCAATTGACCCTAACACAAATATGATTTTTGACAGTAGATGGCGACCTACCTCCCACATGCGCAGATATGATACAGTCAAACCTGCTTTAGTGACCACCTGTCTACAAAGACCACATTTTTTGTTTCCCTTGAAAATGGTTTCTCACTGAAACATGTACTAAAGGTACCTGTCTACAAAGACCACTTTTTGTGTTTCCCTTGGGTGGTCGCTATAGACGGGTTGACTGTATTTGGAAGCTGATAAGACGAGGTTTCTTCCCGCTTTCATAGAGAATGTACAGCAGTGCCAACTAATTCCTTATTTTACTTAACTATTGTTCAGGTTTTAATGAACTCAAATGATTTCATGAAATCTATGTGGGCACCATCATAATCTGTTACCTATAGTTTATTGGTTCCGAATGGGAACTGGAAGTGTCTTTGCCAAATATATCCATGGCCTGTACTGCCCTCTCTGGCCAACTACTGTAATTGCGGTAGTGAGAATTAAAATCATTATAATCTATATCTTCATTACATGTTTAAGCAACATTAATATTAAACATTAAACAAAGGGATGATATTACCAATTAGCAAATTCACCAGAGTCATAATAGGCCAAGTAATATGAAAATACAGTTTATAGATGAAATTACAAAACTTGTTAAGGGTATGAATAATTTAGTTGTTATATGTATTTAACATACTTCAGGCTCCAAATAAACAATACTTAGGTGTTACCCGTGAAACATGCAGCAAGAGCTGAACAACTTTTGAGCAAGAATTTTTTTCCTGAACATACATGTAAGAGATCATACAAAATGTGTGTGTGTAGTGAGCGATTTCTTTTAAGGTAAATATACACGAATGGCAGAATAATTGCAAGCCCTCAATGAGTAGGTGACCGAGCTATTACAAATGAATAATATACATATGTGGTGGGGGGGGGGGGGTGTCATTGCAATATAGTGCTAACAATCACTTCAGGGGCATGTCCAGTATTTTGAGTGGGCGGGGGGGGGGGGGGGGGGGGAGAGTGGACAATGCTGAAAATCTGGCAAAAGCAAAACATTTTTGATTTCTTTTTGTGTGTACTAAAAAGAATGCCAGGTCGAGGGGGGGGGGCATGTATTCTATGAGAAGTTCATGTATATGATAAGAATAGATGTCCCTGCACACACAAAATGAATTCTTGACAAATCATAACATTTATCATGACAGATATATTGCATAATATTTTCAATAACTTCTCAGAATAACTGTTGGTAATGTCTTTCTATACCCGTAGCACAATAATATATCTTATGTACACAGCATTACGGGTACTTGACACAGTCATTGTCTGATATTAAAACAAGATAAATGAAATCAGACCCCCCCCCCCCCCAAAAAAAAAAAAAAAAAAGAAAAGAAAAAAAAAGAAAATTGTTTTGTTCCACACAAATTTCTTTTTCTTTGGTATCTGAAACAGTATCTTAATGGTCATACCAAACACAGACAATTACTTTGTTCTAGTTCTATTTCTTTGGTATTTGATTGCAACTGTAAAACTAAGCTTTTTAACGGTTCATGTATCTGGATTTTTGATTCCAGAACTACAATGCAAGAATAAGTTATAGCTAAAGCTCACCTTGCATTGTTTGAATTGCCCTAAATCATCTATTTAGACCAGCAGTGTGTAGTAACAACTTATAAAATTTTGCTGAAAATCACATACAGAGTATACACCGAAGACAAGTCCATATACACCAAAGACAAGTCTAAACGCATATGGGACTTCATGAACTATTGATCGACAAATCTGTGAATGACCCAATTTTCTCTATATATCTCTTAGCTCATTACTTTCTATTCATTCATATCCTAACAAAATTAGTTTGCAGATTCATGTATGTTTTTCGTTTTGTTTTGAACGTTCAATATGAACCCCTACAGATTCCTTGAAATTCTGACTAAAAACAGAATTTCAGACCAAGGTCAAAGTTCACTGACAAATATGATGTTGCATTGGCACAGAGTTACATGAGTTGACTATACATAAGATTTATCCAATATACAGTATATAAACACACACTTTACACAGATGGAAATAAGACACAATAAAGCTTACATACATGTAGGCACAAAAAGCAGAGCTGCCTTTGTGGAAATTTCATGTAATGCCTCTTTGTGCATGTACCTTTACAGTCAAACATGCTTTAGCGACCACCTGTATAGAAAGACCACCTGTCTATAAAGATCACATTTTTCATTTCCGTAGAATAGTGTTTCTCATTGAAGGAACCTGTATATAAAGACCGCCAGCCTATAAAGAGCACTTTTTATGTTTTCCCTTCAGCGGTCTTATATGCGGGTTTCACTGTAATTGAATATAATGCCCATGGTTGTAGCACATCTGCCAAAGCTGTCACAAGTCTTTATATAAAGCTGTAGAAATTCCATTGAAACAAGTGTTTTGGTAATACATTTTTCTTAAACTAGTATGTACCGATATGTGGTATCTCAGGTGCATATTGACACCTCATAGCACCATTAATACAACAACAACGGCATGATAACATGAGTGCGTTTCGATTTTACATTTTGCTCTACGTAGTGTGTATGTTGTATCTCTGATGTACATTGACATGTCATAGTATCATTACTACAATAATACTACAATGACATAAATGACATCAATGTGTTTCAAATATTACATTTTTCTTTGTGCAGTGTGTATGTGGTATCTAGGATACAGGCTGATACATGTACATCATGATCTTTTTAGCACCATAAACGTAGAATGACAGAAAGGACACATCATTCATCGACCCTCAAACTGTATTCTCTCGTAAATAAAGCTTGATTGAAGAACCACCCATTTCATGATGGCCATGTTTAGCATGTTGAAGTGAATTTCATGATAGCATACTTTCCAATTGGGTTCGAACCCCATTGATGTACAACATCTAATTTGGAAGTCCATTAAGGCTCGTTCAGATATGGCAGGTTTTTAAAGATGAATTAAACTGTAATACAACTCACACTTCTTAATCTTATAACACAGAGCTGCATGGGTGCCTTTCATTTTACACGTTTTAAAAGCACCTTTTTTTTAGGCAGCAATTTACCACGCCATATCTGAACAAGCCTTTGTTGAGGGTTGATTTCACCTTGAATTTGAATTTGACCTTCATAAGAATATGAGGGTCAAAATCATATCCCCACGGACCTTGTCCAGAGTTTGGAGGTCAAATTCACCTCGACAATGACCGTCACAAGAATATCACGGTCAGCCATCATAGTATTGACTACAAAAATTGTGAGGTAAAACTCACTGGCATGTTGACCTTCAGAGTTTGAAGGTCGGAATCACCTTGAATTTGACCTTCACAGTCACCTTCACATTGACCTTCAAACGAACTTTTAGCAGCAAAGTATGAAAGGTAGGCACACACATTTTGACCAAAGTACTAAAAGAAAGTTATCACTTTCAAATAAATACTGGACAATGGGAAGATAAATAGTTTTATTAAAATATGGCTTGCTCTACATTTATACAACTAGTACTGCAATGACAATGCCACGTACATGTACAAAACATAATATCCCCAAAGAGTTGAAAAATTTGTTAAGGTTATAGACTTTTATCTCGTAAAAGTTCCTCTCCTCTAGAAATGCATTATCCATGTCATAACTCATGTTATGACATATAACCTAATCTCTATTAGCCACATTAAAGTTATGATATAATTGCATTGTTGGAGAAAATGCAGTCCATCACATCGTCAAAGTGCATCCGTATACACCTATAAACATTGCACTTCAGTAGAATTCATGAGAACAAACTATTTGAAGGAAGGCATCAGACTTCCACAATTTCGACAGAACCGTGTCCATTTGCCGGATCGACTTGTTGCGTAACTTTGAGATAATGATACGTGAGGACGTCGTCCATTTCCTGCTTGACTTTGAGCGTGTAGTCGAAGCTGTCATAATCACCGAGCGGACTCCCAGGGGGTGAGCTGGAGCGTGGTGTTGGTTCATTGTGACTCGCCGCCGTCGCGGGATGGAAAGCTCGTTGAGATCTTCGGAGAAGTCGAAGGTGTCCATGACGCAGTCCGGCAGCCCCTCCGCTTGGACGTCCATTTTGAATTGGAAGTTGAGCTTGTGACGTCGTGGTGTCGCTGTGGCGATGTCAAGAGCCTGGAGTTCGTGGGCGTGGTCGGAGGCGCGGTCGGGAGTGACTGGGTAGCCTGCGAGAGCTGACATGTGCTCCGGTTCAAGCTGCAGGCCAAAATTGCATGAAAATCTAGAAAAGGGAGAAAGATAGCAGGAGATGATTAGACAAGCCGGGCTTCAAAAATCACAGTGTTTAAATGGAAACAAGCACCTTGGAAGTGTTTCACAAAGACTAGGATTGACTTCATGTTGGACTTAACTATGGCAGGCCTGTCATGCCACTAGCTGATCTCACCATTGGTCTCTCAATTATGATCTTTAGATGATATTTTTTGCCTTCAATAATGAACTATCACAAAAATGTAAATTCTGTAGATTTGTGACCATGATTTGTACGTCCCTTGAGAGACCAATGCCAGTAAATGGTGAGAGAAAACAGTGGTATGAACAGCCTGCCATAGTTAAGTCCAACTTGAAGTCGATCTTAGTCTTTGTGAAACACCCCCCTGGTGAACACAGTTATCCAATTCAGCTCCAGACCCCAAGGGAAAAGGTGAGTGAGAAACCCCAAATAAGCAAACTTTTTAAAAAATCCTTGATCTGCTAAGTAAAAAATCAAAATAAAAACTGTCTAAATAAAGATAGAAATAATTTGTAGATTTTTTTCAGGAACTCTTGCATTTAGCCATTTCACTTCCTAATGGAAACAGTTAAGATTTAAACAAATAATGTGGTGACCCTTTCCCTGTGAGCTCAACTGGGGCATGTTTCATAAAACTTGTTATCAATAACAAGTTACAATAACTGTTATAAGCTACTGAAATCGTCGCATTTGATTGGCTGAGAGCAAATTTGTCATAGAAATTTAGCATTTGTTATTGAAAACAATGTTTATGAAACAGGGCCCTGATTGGTTGATGCAGAGCAGTGGATGTACAGCCTATGGTTTGTTTTTATGAAAATCATATGTAGTACTGGGAAAGTAAGACACCGAAGATATCCCAGCAAAACAATCAAACTTGTTTTAAATCCTAACACGATCGAACCAAAAACTCCCCACTAACTAATGTGAGCAGAGTCTCATAAAGTTACTTGAAAAATAATTCAAACAAAGATCTTGATTTACATGTACATACATGTAAATCGATCATGATTTGGAACAGGGAAAGCAACCTCCAATTACAGTAAAAGAAATATAAAAAAACGTGAATAAGACCATCACACCATAGATTTGATTCAGAAACTAGCAAACACAGTGACATGTGTATATACCATGCACTGTACCAGCTAGAAACCAGCAAGATTTAAGCGACGTTTGCGGTTTAGAGTTTTTTGGGGCGACGGTTGCTGTTTTGAGGGGAAAAGGGGACCCCCAAAACACAAGAAAAAAACAAAGAAAACAGACCAACCGACCCAGGTTCTGGCAACTAAAGGGCAATACAACATCTTCTGTTTTTTAGGCCTTATATACCCAGTCAAGTCTCGTAATGCTTGTCTGGATAATCACTCAAAACCCTGACAATGTCTAACACCAACCACTTTAAAGAGAAGGTTGAGTTCTGGGAAGAGGTGAAAAATAATTTGTGAGCGTTATCATTCTTATTATGCAAGTGTGGAAGAATTCAGATAAGACATGCTCCCTGAAAAGCATGGCTCTTCAAATGCCTTTATATTCTAAATATGTCATGTAACTCGTAAAACTCGGGGGGTAGGTTTTTTACGCCACGTGTTCGTGTAGTCCCATATACATCTTTCTGTGTACAGTGTTTGTAACTTTACCAAGACTTGGCCAAATTTCTTATCATTTTGATGATTCCAGAACCTTGCAATACACACAAATTCTTATATGCTAGATGATCAACCTTATCTGGTCGATTTCACACCGTTTCTTTCACAATGTAATCGCATGACCAGAACTCAACTTCATCTTTAATCTAAATTGCACTTCAAATATAAGAAGACTTACCAATAAAAAAGATTGATCTGGAATAATGTCAACAACAAGAACAAATTATTTGGTTACATGATCAAAAGTGATTGTGATAGAAACAATGACATCACCTGTGATCGTGATTATTTCACAAAGCTACTCCTTCCTCTTCCCCTCCCCCTTTAAAGCCTCACTTTACTATTTATAGCTACTCACGCCCTCTATATAGCAAACAATGCCTAAGCGGTGACCGTTGGTCCCCCATGGTCCCCTTCTTTTTATGTTAACTTAGAGCTGATTTGATGAGATAACCACCTGTCAGTGACCATGCAGGGAGGTCTAATCCCTCCTGGCCAAACTAATGCTGATAGGCTTTAAACAAATGTGATCCTACCTTCAGATTTCTAGGGAAATGTTTTTCATGTTAGGGATTTATTATATTTTTGGAAAGGATCAGTGGGTTTACTTTCACACATGATGATGGCAATAGTAGCAGTAGTAGTAGCAGTGGGAATAGTGTTAGCAACGGTAGTAACGGCAGCAGTTGCAATTATAGTAGATTAAAGATAAAGTTGAGTTCTAGTCATTGACTAAAAAAGATTGATCATCTAGCATATAAGTATCGGTGTGTACTGCAATGTTCTGGAATCATCATAATGATGATCCCAAACGTACGCGACAACCAGATGCTGGTGATTGTACGTCACAGACAGATGCAAATGCAGATAATGATAATGATAGGAAATTTGGCTGAGTCTTAGTAAAGTTACAAGCACTGTACACAGAAATATGTACATGGGACTACACAAAATATGTGCCATATTTAGAATATTAAGGCATTTGAAGAGCCATGCTTTTCAGGAAACATTTTTGATCTGATGTTCTTCCACACTTGCATAATAACAATGATAATGCTCACACATTATTGTTCACCTCTTCTCAGAACTCAACCTTCTCTTTAAGTGGTGTTTATTTTACTTACTGTGCTTCAAACTTCTTGATATCAATGTCTCCCATGTTGGAGGCAATCAGATGCAGGATGTTTGTAAGACCACTCAGGAACCACCTCAGATCAGACGGAAGATGAGGCAGCCATCTTGTTAACCTGTTCAAAGGTCAAAGGTCAAAGGTCAAGAGGTCACTATAACATTTTTTACATTGTCCATCTATATTGCACTTATCCATCCCAGGGGATGTTGAAGGCACCTACAAAGTACTATTATTACCCTGGTTTTAGACCATCTGCCCTAAGGCGCTGAAAGCATTCAAGGAGAACTAATAGGCCATTTTCGTAATGTAACCAAATTTAATGCATAGGTCTTTGTGAAGTGCCTCAATACAAACTATTTCATTCACCTGAAAAGAATAATAGTATTTCAATAGACAGAATCCTAACTGCATACATTAGTTGTTGCCAGGTTGGACAAACATTATGGCTTGACCTACCTAGCAATACTTAATATATGCAGTTGCATTCTGACTATTGAAATACTATTATTCCTATCAGGTGAATGAAATAATTTGTATTGAGGCACATCACAAAGACCTATGCATTAAATTTGGTTACATTACGAAAATGGCCTATTCCTACCAGTTGCCCATTTACTACATCTGGATTGAGAGCAGCAAAGGCAGATTGATGTCTTGCTAAAGGACATTTTTGCATACTGTACATGGATAAGCATCTGAAATCATTCATGCATATCCACCTTATCCACATATATCTTTAAACACAAGATTTTTTAGGGGATTCAGAGGGGGCATACAAGATGTGCCACCATTTGATGTGCCTAGGTGCTGAAGGCTCATTAAAATATGACGGCGTAATAAAAACGCTGATGTTTTTTTACATGCAAATAAATGGCAACTGCATGCAACATAGGTCCTACACATATTAACTGAGCTCTGTGTTACAAGATGCAGTTTATGTCATCATTAAAAAAAGTTTTTCATATCTGGACGAGACCTTAGTGACAATATCCAGTATCCATAAAAGTGTACTAACTCTGGTCTAGCTTTAAGTGGACAGACTGCACAAACTCACCTGATGGCTAAACAGTAAGCTGTTTCTAGAGGCAAGACACACGGCAGAGATGCGAAGGAGACCACAGAACCTAATCGGCTCTTTGTGATGTAGTTCCAGATGCTAGGGTTTAGGGAATGACATGCGGAGTGCAGCACTGTTGAAAAGATAAATATGAATGATAAATAACGTTTTTATGGCACAACGATGTGTCTCTATGCACGCAATACAATACAATGAATGCATGTCAATGCTTACATGTAAATTTATAGTTAAACACATGATCTATTATATTTACATTAGTTCCACTTTGATCTGTTCTCTGTGCTTTTACACAGCTCTGTGCTATACACGTACTTTGAATGACATTTTGGAGTAGATTCGTTCATTGTTGTCCATGTTTGTTAATACAACTTGTGCTACATAACGTGTATTACTTCTGGTGGTAAACTTTTCACTAGTTTAAGTTTGTTGAATTGGTGTTCACATGTCTAGAGTGGTGTTCGCATAATATCAGTAGTATACTTCTAAATGATATAACATGAACTGTGCTCTTCACCTTGAATTACATTTGGTGGTAAACCCTCGACAAGTTTAATTTGATCAGAGTTGTGTCCATATTGTATGAATATTACGCTTCTAAAAACATGATAGTGTGAACTGTGCTCTATACCTTGAATTACATTCAGTGGTAAACTCTTGACAAATTTAATTTGATCAGAGTTGTGTCCATATTGTATAAATATTATGCTTCTAAAACATGATAGTGTGAACTGTGCTCTTTACCTTGAATTACATTTGGTGGTAAACACTCAACAAATTAAATTGATCAGAGTTGTGTCCATATTGTATGAATATTACGCTTCTAAAACGTAATAAAAATGTGAACTGTGCTACATACCTTGTATTACTTCTGGTGGTAAACTCTTGACTAGTTTGAGTTTGTTGGAGTGGTGTTCACACCTCTCGCAGGGACGATTCTCAAAGAAATCGTTGTCATCCCAATCGACCCACATCTTGCCTTCTTCGTCAACCTCTTCTTCTTCTTCATGTAACATCCCCTGTTCAAGATAAACAAAGAGAAAAAGCATTCAAAGTCTAATTTTGACAAAACATGTACATAATATATATATATATATAGATATATCTATATGATCTTCTTTTCCTTTTAATCATTCCAAAACTTCAAAGTATAAATTATTTAGTTTCTTTCACAATATAATCACATGACCGGAACTCAATCTGAGTTTTAAGAGCAAAATTTTTAGGAATTGAGGATGCAATCTCCTTCCTTTACCCAGAAAATCATTAAAAGGGTCAAAGGGTAGGATCCTATTTTCAAAGCATCCTTATCACTTCAGGGATCATTTTCAACATGCCTTTTGCCATTTTTATTTTTGCGCCATCATAAATCATAATTTCACAATGATTAGTGATTTTTTTTTTAATGTGGGTTTTTATGTTGGAAATAAATTGTGTGAATGGATGTGCTTCTTTTATCTATTTGTATTTCTTATTTGTGCTTCATGCTCACCATACAGTCCGGTGCATCTTCTTCCTCCTCTTCCTCCCCATCCGACTCCTCTTGGAGACGCCATCTCCCATCTGAAGCCCTCATGGGAGGAGACGATGACGTACTGGGGAATGTGGAATCCATGATGGGATTGGACTGTGTGTGTCGGAGCAGGGTTGTAGATCTGCGCCTGTTCGAGGGTATTGTCTTTGAAGGCCTGGAGGACATTCTTGTGTTGCCTAGACATACCGAGTGGGATCGGCGTTTAAATACGTGCCTCTCGCATGGAATAAGTGCTGTAAGGGAAAAGGATAATGAAATAAATAGTATAAAAGATTATTAATAGTAGGTCTAACAGAGTATATCCTTGTATTGCCTTGACAAACAAAATAAGAAGCCCTTCCAGGAAAGGACAGAATTTGGAGAAAGACAGTAAATCTGTGCCTGTTCAGGGGAAGTGTCTTTGAAGGCCTTGAGGACATCCTTGTGTTGACTAGACATATCGAATGGGACTGTCACTTCAGTATGTGCCTCTTGCATGGAATAAGTGCAGAATGTAAAGGATTAATAAAGTGAAAGGATAAAATGTATCAATAGTGCGGATACCGGAGGACATCCTTGTATATGCATTGACAGTATACATGTACATATTCAGGATACATACTTACATGTATGCATTATATACTATACATGGTATGACTATACAAAGACAAAGCTTAACAGCAGATTACAAAATCAATTTTTCCTTCAAGCCCAACATAATAACTTGGTAGATATACAGTAATACTTGATAGTTTAATATTCAAATACATCAAGTTTTTTTCCCTATGAAGTTAAAGTTAACTGCATCAACTGTACATGCATGTACATGCACGTTTATTTTGTTCAAAATATTTTAACAATGCATGCGATGCAACTCTGTAAACCCTTATCAGCTACAGGTATAATAGTTTAGACCCAGAAAAGTAAACACTAATATGTCAAAACAAAAAACCCAAAATAACACAAATTTATCTTTATATCTATGTAGGTCACCGACTGATAATCATTTGACCCCTGCCCTTCTTTGATTAGAAGCATAAGCAAACTTTAGACACGTGTTTTCCTTCGTTAAAGACAAACAGAAACAGAAATTCTGAGTGACTGAGACTTTCTTACATCATAATCAATGTGCAAATCTCTTTATACATATACATGAATGACTTGCAGGATTCTGTAAATTTTGCCTTTTGGCCACTATTGGATTTTAAAATCAATTAATTACAAATGTCCATTATGTATGAGCCTCTTAGAAATAACTCTTTCTCCCATCTTAACACCATCAAAAGATGGATATTTTAGATGCCAGTACTTAATATCAACTGGTGGCTAAGCTAGGAGTATAATTGTAGATCATATTTTCCTTTGGGGCAGAGGGGGGGAGTTGTCTAAGGTCTCAAAAGTCACTGACAAGCAAGAGAGGGGGGGGGAAGTTTCCCAATGAACAGGGCCTTGCTAGAAATTTGGGCCAGAGATAAAATTAAAATTGAAAAAAGGTTCCAATATTTCAAGATTGGCTAGCAGATACTGCTTGGGTCAAAGCAGAATAGCTCAAGCTCAATGCCACAACCATCCTCAACCATCTACATGTACATGCAAAACATGTATTAATCCCCACATTAAAAAAACAAAACATACTGTTGGTAGCCAGCATTTGTGGGCGAACATAGATTTTGACTTTGTTTTAAAAATGGCTGTGCATTATCTTGAAACTGAACAATTGAATTGTTATCAATCTAGGGTAAACCTTTGTACACTCCACCTCACTTTGGAACCGAAAAGTTGAGTGAACTTTGCACCAGATTTGCACCAGTGTTTCACTATTCATAACAAGTCAACTGATACCTCAAGCAGGCCTCAAATTAGTTTTCTTTTCACCCTTTGAAGAAGAAAAATCCCAGGTAGAGAAAATTAGCAAGGTTCTTTTGGTGATATGCTGTCCATTTTAGTGAAGCTGGGCCAATAGTCCTGAAATGAGTTTTTCTTCTCAACTTTTGAAGAAAAAAAATACTCGGTAGAGAAAATTTGCAAGATCTTTTAAAAGGAAACACTGTCCCTTTCAATAATTTTATATTTTGATGATTCAAAAACCTCCCAGTTTACACCAATACTTACTTGCTACATGATCATCCTTTCTCAATAGCTTCCCCCATATTCTTTCACAGTGCAATTAAATGACAAGCACTCAACTCTGTATTTAAATATCATCCTTAAAAACCCTTTCATTTGTGCAAAGTCATTTACCGGTACTCTTTTATAGAACATATTATCCCATGCTAGAGTTTTTCATAGAAGTACAGTGCACCTGTCTGTAAAGACCACCCAAGGGAGACAAGAAAAGTGGTCTTTATCAGCAGGTGGTCTTTACGTACTGTACAGGTTCCTTTAGTACATGTTTCAATGAGAAACCATTTTCAAGGGAAACAAAAATGTAGCCTTTGCAGACAGGTGGTCTTTCTGTACAGGTGGTCACTAAAGCAGGTTTGACTGTATACCGTATTCACTCTTTGTTTACATTTGTGGTATTCATGTTCTTGGTTTTTGGTCACAATGGTCACTGTTTCCTTGATTATTAATTGTCATTAATTTCTTTTTCTTCCCATATTTACAAATATCTAAAAAGTCCTGTGAAATGACGGTCACCTATAAATATAATGAAGCAGCGAGTTCTCAACCCCCCTCCCCAAACCTTTCAATTTCTCTCTTCTCTCCTCTTTTACCTTTCAAAGCTTATCTTTTCTCTCATCCTTACTTTTTAAATAATCTCTATTAGAATTATTCATATTTATTATAACTCTGAAGTAAAATTCTTTTTTATTTGAACCACGGCTATTGTCAAAGTGATTCTTTGTCAAGTTTACTATTTATTTTGTTTTTTTAATGTAATCATTATCCACATACATGTATATTTTAAAAAAAATGTGAACTGTGTGTATCAATCTGTGGATCAGTTTATCAATAAATTCAAATAAAAATGAAATAATGAAAAAGATGTATAAAAACAGACCAATCTTGCAACATAAAGGCCCCTTATCTTTAACAGTTGCAATAAGCACGTGGATGATGATTTGAACCTGTTTTGCTCGACACACATTTCTGTGTGGTTAGGAGCCTGACTAATCATCAAGGATTATTGGGACAGCTTTCGTTCTATTCTTGGGTTACTGTTTACATCTCAGAACAATATATCTTGGCAGCTAGCTGTCTGCCAGAATATCAGAATAAAGGGCACCCAGTGATGATAAAAGCGGACAAATATTTGAACAGCGGCCGGCAAAAAGACCGAGATAGCAAGAGGAACGGAAATATCTTTTTGTTCTTAAAAAGTTAAAAATGCCTTTTTTCTTTCTTCAATTCAGCCCCTACTGGTACTGAAATTTGACCTATGACCTATATGTATAATATGTACTTGTCCTTCTTGACCATGGCAAGCTGCAAACCAAAAATTTAAGGCACTGTTTGAAATGTTAAATCTGAGATGCATGGCCCTACATGTACGTGTTATCAGTGTCTGTGATATGGTGTAATATTGAAGCCCTAAAAAAATTGCGCTTCAAAAGGTGCGTGAAGAGCCTCAAAAAAATAACTATCTTTGAGTGACCGGTTTTACGATGTTCATTTTCCCCAATAGACTGTATTGTTTTAAAAACTGTTAGGAAAAAAAAAAAAAAAATTAAAATTCTAATCATAAATATCTTGATAATCAGACAGGCGATCTGCTTGTAAAAGTAATGGGATTCTTAAGGTTTATAATTAATATCATTGCAGCATGAGCTAAATCTAGGATTTTGTTTCAGAATCTGAGGCAATGTTATTGAGTCACTTTAAGAATACTAACCCTACAAACTTCACATTAATTCTACATACACAACTAAATCATTCATACCACTTGTCAATTTTGTGTTTTCACAACTCAAGAATGAAAGGCGTACTGGTTGAATTACGGCCTTTGTTGAATACTTTTTTTGTTTTTTATTTGTAACAGGTGACAGGAATAATTTGTAACATGGCACTTAACAAAGATTTAATGCATAAAAATTGTATTACATTACAAAAATAGTCTATTGCACATACGCGTACTTGTAAACAGTATTTTAGAAACAATTATGTAATAGATTCGCAACATACATGTGCATGTACGTGTACACTGTATGTCAGTACGCCAACATGTATTTCTTTGTTGTTTGATAAGTAGGGCACAAGACGGCATTTGACTGCAACATTGGATGTTAGCCAAGTCAATTATCGGCCCTTGAGTTTGGATGGCTGCAAGCAAGAACATGTAAATAGGTAGGTCAGGTATATCTGTTCTTTTCACATTGACATTGTGTACTTAATGTTAAAATGTAAACATACGTGACCGATGTTTCCCGCGAATCTCCTGCCATTGAAACATATCTTGATCTTTGTGCCAATGTGCATGTATTCAATACCCTATTTAGAGCAATAATATTTACACATTACAGGTACCTCATTTGTATGTTCTCTGCTCTGCATATATATATTTTCCCTACGTGAATCTGTTTCTTCTTCTCGGCCCTTGAGTCTGGATGGCAAGCAAGTATGTAGGGCAGGTATATCTGTTCTTTTCACATTGACATTGTGTACATTATGTTTAAATGTAAACAAACGTGACCTATGTTTCTTTCCCCGTGCATCTCCCTCCGTTGAACCATAATATTGATCTTTGTACCCATGTATTATCATTTTAGAGCAATAATATTTACGCTTCATCTTCTTTGTAAATTACAATCCCTGACCTACATACATTTTGTCCCTTTACATGAGTCTACATGTATGTTTCTTTTTCTGATAGACTGTATACCTTGCTTGGCAGGGAATAATTTTCCTGGTATCGCATCGCAATTTGCTATGCATTTTTGCATGACTGCTATACATAATATCTTTTGTGTAGCAGTTTTCTTCCATAGAAATGTACAGAATTTCACTTGAAATATTTATCCATCAGCTGAAATTGCTAATCAAAAAATTTGAGGAAAATTATTCCCTGCTTGGTATTAGCCATATGACTTAAAACTTGAAAGATATCAATATTACTGTTGTTCTCTCATCCATTGTATTCCTAAATATGGGCCCCAGTATATTTTCTACAAGTATCTCTCTGTCTGTATAATATATGGGTGTATGTCTGTCTTTCTCATCATCTCTACTCCCACCCTACCCCCCCCCCCCCTTTTTCCCCATCTCTCTCTCTCTCTCTCTTTTTCTCTCTCTCTTTCTCTCCCACACACACATACATGTACACTTTCCTTCTCTCTCTGTATTTGCCTTTCAGTTAATCAGCCTATATGAATCTTCTCTTCTCCCCCCCCCCCTTTTCCCTTGCAGTAGAGTCAAACATCTACATGTACATGTACACTATTTGTACATTCATCTGTTTTAACATCACCTTCCAACCCAAGTCCATCACATACTGTATGTCGATTAGTCCTAATTGCTTTTGTTTCCAATGACATTGGGACTGCTGCCAAGTGCAATTGATTGTTTTACTTGGAAAAGCGCCAAAACTTCAGCCTGTCAATGACTGACCAACTGAATGAAATATTAATGAGCGTGACACATGTAGTTACATAGTGTGATTACATTTCTACTCTATTGAGATAGGCAGTACATGTAAATAGCAAGTACATGTTTCTGGATACTTAGAGACTGGAGACAGCCTAAATGTAGCAAAATATTGCAAAATAATTTTTGAAAATAAGGAGAGTTTTATAACGACCTACATTCCTATAGCTGCACTATTCAAATTTTAAGTCGAATAAGCATGATACTTTACTGTACATGGTAGGGCTACGACGAGTAGTCGAATGCTCGAGTACCCGCACTGTTGACAACTACTCAAGTCGATTTCTCGTACTCGAATATTCAGCCGCAAAAAAAAAAAAAAAAAATCCCGGTCACCTGGCACTGTCCAGGCCGACGCTTACCCGTGCCAGGGAGCGCACTGTCAAACTCACCACTCAGAAACTGGGACCAAATGTCCAAATTTCTGTTTAGACTAGGAGGAAAATGGATTATTCTGCCATCTTTGGTTTTTAAAACAGCATTGTTACTGTTATTATTATTATTAAATCGGCGCCTTCAACTGCAACTCGAAGTAAAATTGCAAGCGTTTAGGTGACGGACCTGGGATAATGCTCCAGTGGTATGGTGATGGCAAACAAAAAACAAAAATCAAAAAATCAAACAATCAAAAAATTCAAAAAAATTCAATAAAAAAACATGGCGTCCGAATATTCGAGTATTTGCTTGTAAGCCTGCGAGTGTACTCGGGTACCTCATTACACTGTTATGCACAGCCTTAGTACATGGAGGTATACACTGTAGGATTACAAACAGAGAAAGAGAGGGGATGATAGAGAGTGGGGGAGGGAGGAAAAAGAGGATGAGGAGAGAGAGGGCAAGAGAAAGTGGGCATAGCAGAGGAGAGAGAAAGAAAATAAACTCACTATGTGTTTTGAGGTAGAGCAGTGCATCTTCGAAGCCTTGCTTGCACATTCTGCTCAGCACGGCTGGTTCCGGTGGGTAAAGAGCTCTACACATTCTGTACAAGTTACTAGCAGTGATCTACAAAAATAGGAAAAAATATTAAAACAAATTAAAGACACTTCAAATTTCAAAATATAAATACGCTACTCATATAGATCTGCTTTTTTACATTAAACAAACTAGTTTGAGGACTTTTCCTCCAGTCAATGGATTTAAACTAGTATGTAACAAGAGTTAAGAATAATGACATCAGCAACAAGGCAATAAGATGGAGAGAGAAAGAAAGAGCAGCAGGAGAAGAGGGGAAGAGGGGAGAAGAAGAATGGGAAGAAGATGATCAAATGGAAGACAGAGAATGAAAACACAGGAGGAAAAGAGAAGAAGAAGAAGAATCAGAAAATAATCATGACTTACTTGAACATTTGTATTTGAGATGGTAACATTGAGGTAGTCGCTGAATTCATCTGATCTGGGACATATATCAGCCTCACCCGAGAGGGGAGAAACAGTGATGGTCTTACACGTCTTATCAATGATGGGTAGATTATCAGATATACCTCCATCTACGTATCTCTGTAAAAACAAAACAGTAAGCAAGAATAGATTAAAGGTAAAGACCAGTATTGGAAACGCCCCAATTTCAAAAAACGAAATGGAAGCTCTTATTACCAATCATGTGAAAGAATATGTTTTGAATAATACGTACATGATGATAAAAAAATTGCCGGGAAACCGCTCACTAATTGATATATTTGGTAAATTAGTTTATCTATTGGTGTGTGAGAGATAAAACACATGTGTCGTGCACGTGTGCGTAGTCCCATATACATCTTTCTGTGTACAGCGCTTGTAACTTAATGAAGACTGGGCCAGATTTCTTATCATTTTGATGATTCCAGAACTTGCATACATCTATGCTAGATGATCAACCTTTTCTGATCGATTTCACAACATTTCTTTCACAATGCAATCGCATGACGATAACTGGTCTTTATCTTTAAAGATTTGAAATGATCAGTGGTTGAGTCAATGAGTGTGAGACATTGCAGGAGTACTGGAATCCAGGGAAGGGGGAGGGGGCAATGCTTTTACAACGTAGCTCTCATTATTTACAGTACCGGTATGAAGTTTTTGTCAATGATGGGTATATTATCAGATATACTTCCATCCACATGCCTCTGTCAAAGAAAAAAGAAAGCTAGAATAGATCAATAATTGGAAAGGACCAATGTTTAGCATGTGCCAATGAATTGAGAGGGGCAGTGGCATCCAGGGAAGGGGCAAGAATTTAGAGTACTACAATTAAATGTAATTGGATGCATTATGAAATTACAAGGCTCCCGATTTTTGATTTGATTTTTTTTTTTTTTTTTTTTTTTTTTTTTTGGGGGGGGGGCATCTTGCTCCCTCACTTTTGAATTTCTCCCCCCCCCCAATCTTCAATTGGAAAAGAAAAGGGGGCAACATGCCCTCTGCAGCTACACCACAGGTAACAAATGAGAATTTTAAAATTTTGATTTGAAGCAAATAAAGTCAATAAATCACATCATGACAATTAAGACGAGACATCTGTATCGTTATGTTAGTCCTGATCCTCATGTGCATGAAATAAAAAAAAATTTTCGAAGTAATATTTGAGCAGAAATATACTGACCAATTATAGATAAGTACAGTGTACAGAATACAGAAATTGTACAAATAAACAAGTGATAACTAGAGCTAAAATACAACTGTTGGTTATCTTTGTCATTCTAATGTTATGTACATGCAAGGTCATTTGATTTTCACAATCAGTTTAGTCTATATCTTCACATAATACATGGTGTATTTGCACCGGGTTTCATGTATTTTGGTTAACTGTATACAAGTCATATATTATAGAAGTCAAATAAACAATTGATTGTCTTTGTTAATCTCATGTTATCTGGACAATGCAAGGACATCCAATTGTAATAAGTATAGAATACAGAAATAGTCCAAATAAACATTTGACATCTAGAGCTAAAATAGAACTGTTGGTAATATCTTTGTGATTCTAATGTAAAACGCAATAATGCAAGGTCGTTTGATTTTCATTATCAGTTAATAGTATCTTTGTTATTCTAATGTATTACGCAATAATGCAAGGTCACCTAAAGTTTATAATCTATATCTTCACATAATACATGTACATGTACATGGTGTTTTTGCACCGGGTTTCATATATTTTGGTTAACTGTATACAAGTCATATATGATAGAAGTCAAATAAACAATTGATTGTCTTTGTTAATCTCATGTTAACTCGACAATGCAAGGACATTCAATTGGAACCATTTATTTATTCTATTTGCACTCATAATCTTTGCATAAGCTTATTTTGGATATATACAATGCAGGTATCATCTATTGCGTAAGATTTGGCAGTGGGCCAATTCATGGAAAAACACAATGTATTATCTGACTCCTGAAATCGTTAAAATGTCATTTATTTTCAGGGGGGGGGGGGAAACAACTGACATTTAAGACCATGCATTTGTTTTCTTTAGGCCTTTTCGGGTTTTGTGCAAAATACCGCCGCAAAAAAGTTGCCGTTGTTTTTTACATGAGATTAATGACAACTACATTGTACCTGCAAAACAGTTTTTTCGCATTTCACCGAACTTTAGACTGAGTTTGTATCATATCATAAAAATAAAGCATTTTCTATTGGAGCTATATGTGTACATGTACATGTATGTATCATCATATTCATCTCAATCAAGACTATATCACACTCTACATCTACATGTATGTATAGTAGAACTCTTTTTATAGTAAATTAACTGTATTCAACATTCAAATACAGGGATCATACTTTCATTTCATGAGTACGTTGTATAAAGCATTCTACATATACATGTTTGTACAGTACATGTATATGAATGAAACATGAGCAAAGAAGCTGCACTTTTGAACTGAAATCTTATCCTCCAATCTCTCACATGGCAAATGACTCATTGTACACAGTACGAACATGTAGCACTACCCAAATTAGAGGCAATATGGTGAATGAATTTGAACCCAAAAAAGAGAGTCTATATACATGTAAGTAAGGCTAATTAATTCTCCATGTACATGTATGAAACAAAATTGTCATAAAAATGTAATACATGCATACACATTGCATGAACATGTAGAAAGCAGAAATATTTTTGTGAAGTAATGATATGATCACAGGGCTCTCAGGGAGAACAGCATCTTGTGCTCTTTTCACACTGGTTTTGCTTAACCCCATACTTTGCCTAGCCCCGTACTATCCTTAACCCCGGACTATTTTTTTTTTGCTTTTCACACACGCTGTTTTTAGTCCCGTACTAGCGCCTATTCTGGAATAAGAAAATTCACGCTGTTCTCACTGCAATTCGTTAACCCCGGATATCGTGAATGTTATGATTGGACATACTTCGCATCTGGCCAGCTGCGATACGCTCCATTGCGTAGTACCGGACTATTTTTCGTTTCTGTTCTCATTCATTTGCTTGGCACCGCAATTGCGGGGTTAGCAGGAGTTAGCACCACAATTGCGGAGTTAGCCCTGCTATTTTGCAGGGTTAGTTAACCCCGTACTATAGGTGGGGTTAGCCAACTTAAGCCCACTTTGGTAAAAGCTAGTCTGAACAGAAAGTGGAATAGGCTTAACCCCGTACTATAGGTGGGGCTAAGACCCCCCCTTAACCCCACCTAAAGTATGGGGTTAAGCAAAATATTGCCAGTGTGAAAACAGTACTTATCCAAGATACATGTACATGTACATGTATTATCATTATCATTATTATTACAAGAAGGAAATGTGTAGTTGTATATCATTACACTTTACAGACCAAGAGCTTGAGTCCATTTTACTGTTCGTTGCTCTACTGAGATACATGTATCTGTCTATACTGAACATTGACAAATGTCAGATTTATTCTGGAATTCCCCTACACTGATCATTGAGATTTATTGGAATTCCCCATGCCGGAGTTTATTGTTGTATGTTCATACAGTGATTCAACGGGATGTATCACTATGAACATGACAGACAAAGAAAACAGACAAAATATACAGTTCCTCAGGGAGACAAAGGAACATCCCTTCATTGCTATTATGTAAAAAATTGAACATGCATTTGACACCTGTTCTACACGTTTTTACATAATAGCAGTGAAGGGATGTTCCTTTGTCTACCTGAGGAACTGTATACTTTGTCCGCTTTCTTTGTCAGTCATATTCATAGTGTATGTATGTCTGTTTTTTCCCCTTTATTTCCTCTGTCTGAAGAGGGTTACAATCATTCACGACATGTCTGCATTTTATAGCAAAGCACAATCAGAATATATTTACTAAAGTCAAACCTGCTTTAGTAACCACCTGTATAGAAAGACCACCTGTCTACAAAGACCGCATTTTTTTCTCTTGAAAATGGTTTCCCATAGAAACATTAAAGGAACCTATACATAAAGACCACCTCCCTATAAAGACCACTTTTCTTGTCTCCCTTGAGTGGTCTTTATAGACAGGTTTCACTGTACGTAAATGCTGAAAGAAGCTTGTACTCACCGTTCCTCGATATGTCGGTGGCAAGAAACCAGAATAAAATGGAATGAAAGCACTGCATAGGATAGCCTGTAAATATGGAAGGACACAGAGATATTTATTAAAACAAGATACAAAAAACATAATATTCTGAAATACCCAAAACTTCCACCCACATCAAATGAAATATTGTGACTGGTATTTTACACAAGTTTGAGTGAATGGACTATTCTATTGATTCTTGAATTCCAAAACAATTAAAGAAGGCTTTGTTCATGTGTTATACAGGGAAACAAATACCAGTAGATTTATTCCACTTATGCGCAACTGCATGGCCACCTCACGGCACAAATTAACACTGTACATAGACTGTATAATTAATGTAGATATAAATCCGTCTATCAAATATATATGTGTACTGTAAATTTAATAATACATGGACAGTGTCATATGCTACGAATCACACAGAAAAATGTTAACTACAGTACATCTGTCAAATATTTTTTTTTTGTATGTTATCATTCAAATGTAGCCAAACTAACAATGCCTACATGTGCATAATTATGAATGTTAAAAACCCACAAAAAGATGATGAGTTGTCGCAATCTTTTTTTATAATTAACAGGAAAACCACTGTCCCTGGGTATACTACAGGGACTATGCATTCAAGAGCATCACGTCGTTGAGCACTCTGAAAGTTTGTTGACATTTGTAATGGTTGCCTGCATGTACAGTGAATGACCTTGAACCAGCAGCACCCAGAAAGTCATATGACATAGCTATTTCCTTTCCATTGTCCATTTGTTATTTTGGAGAATGTCATTGTTCATTCATGACTGTGGATGACATTTTGTTTTGTTTTGAATTCTAGAAAGTGGTGTGATTGTGCTTATGAAGGTAAAGACGAGTTTTGGAAACGCCCCCCTCTCAAAAATGAAATGGAAGCTCTTATTACCAATCATGTGAAAGAATATGTTTTGACTAATACATGATGATACAAATTTTGCCGGGAAACCGCCTACTAATTGATATATTTGGTAAATTACCGATCTAGCATGGATAGATATCGCGAATGCACTTCAACATTGAACATTGGGGCATATATTTTTGCTTTTTTTTGTGAATTTAGGTTGAAGTATTGCCATCTAAACCTCTGAAGGCAATATTTAAACAATATTGAATGGATATTTTGCACCCAAAACCCTTGAACCGCAATTTTACCACTACTGGTCTATACCTTTAAAGTAGGCATACATGCAGCCCCCCCCCCCCCCCCCCTTTATACATTCCTTTTGGAGGGGAACATTGAGGAAAATCACATAATTTTCAAACACAGCTGACCAAGATTTCATCACCCTACTAATTCTGTTGTCAGTCTTTTAAAGGTCCTTATAGACAGGTTTGACTGTGCATGCATCTCCCTTTAATTGTCCACAATCAAGAATAGCTTACATCCATGAGGTCCTTTCTCGTTTCATACTCGCTGACCATCACGTTCTGACGGTCAGACATCCTGGTCAGCGAGATGTGCAGTCTTCCGCTGGCCCTCTTGTGGATGTCCATGGGGAGGATCCGCTCCATCCCGTCCACCAGGATCTGATGCAGGTTAAACCCGGGATGGAACGGCCCTAGGGACCTGGCCCGGGCCTTGGCGGCTGTCTTCAGAACATCCTCAGTGATTTTAACTAGAATCAGAGAAAATTATGAAGAAACACTTAAATGAGTAAGAAAATATGGAAAAAATATGGAAAAATAGGGAAAATAAGGAAGAACAAAAAGGGGAAAAAATCAGGAAGAGAAAAAAAAAAACGGAGAAAAAAAAAACGGAAAAAATCTGGAAAACTAATTTAAATCAGATAATTATCAGGCCTGTATGACCTTCTCAAGGAATCATTCCTGAGTAATTGTTTCCTAACGTACGTAAGGACATTCTGCAGCTGGCAAGGGCTAACTGATCATGTATTTACTAGGGTATGCACAATTCCAGGAACTCCTTGCGGCATTGTGCATGGTGAATACATAACCAAATGGCCTTACACAGCTAAGGTACATGTACTACACACAAACATTAATGCCCAAAGGCCTTAACAATACATATTCAATGATCTAGAGATCAGTAAGCATTGGGGATTGGAATCATCTTCTAGATACATTATTATTATTATTATTTTTTCTCATTCCATTTGCAAAGGCTAAGATGATCATTTTGGGGGTCTCCATGTAAATTGGCAACGTTTTCACTAAATCCTTGTACAGCTGAATTTTCTAGTAAAAAATGTAGTGCATTAGAAATAGTATTAATGGGGTAAAAACTACATGTACTGTCTGTACGTTTAAAAAGTTCAAAACTAATATCAAATCTGTAGGTGAAATCTGAGATTCTGAACTTTAAAAAAAGGTGAGCTCCAATATTAAGAGTTTTCCTTAATGCTGCATGAAATTTCATGTACTGTACAAAACATTCTTTACAACATGTACATGTAGATCTACAATCTACAAGTACAGTGACAGTGTACATGTACATGTATGACGTACTGTATAGTTCGTCTTGTCCATCTTTTGTTGTACTTATTTATTCATTTAGTTAGTTAGTGATATAAATAATTAAATTTATAATATACTGTACAATACAATACATATTGCAAACATCTCCTGCTGCTACTTGCCAACAAATTTAATGAATAAATAAATGAATAAATAAATAAATAGAGTAAAGCCATTAAGTCTTTATATTATCGTATCAAGATGTCAGGGTCATGTGGAATGTAAACTGACTAAACCAGGAAACGAATATGTGGACATTGGACGACAGATCTTTTTTTTTTCTTCAACTTGACCTGCCTTTTCTGACGATTTATCGGCATCGAATCTATTTGTTGGAGGCCGCCCGATAATAAATAATCTTTCAAGTATTTCGGACATATCAAAGTTGCTCTTTTTTTAGTGAAGTTTAACCCTAGATTAAGATTTGGAATTTTTGTGTTACTACTCTACATGTACATATACATGAAGAAATAGACTTACAAGCCCAACATGGTACATAATTATCTTTGACTTTTTCACTGAACATTCAAAACAGAAGTCATCATATAAAATATACATGTACATGAACAAGTCTGAAAATTGATAAACCTGATCCTCCTTTTACAAATTTACGCTAATTGGTATACAGTACTCTGACAATGGGGACTTTTTGTTTCCTTTTTCAAATTGTGAACCTGAACAAATGCAATTATATAAAACATCTTGAAGCAGAACTATTGCCACAAGATCCATGGAATAATAATATTCCTTTCTTGTATAGCTCTTAACACTTTATGATATGACGTCCTTACGCGCTTCCAAAGAGCTTTGAAAAGGTTTGACCTAGCTTTAGCTCCCGCAGCCGTTATTAGCGTACAGTACACATGTGCCATTCATCTTCTCGCACTGATAAAATAGGGTCTGTTGATCGCTTTTCATGTCACGTTTTCTACACACATGTCCTGGCATTACAATGATTGCATGAGAGTCATAAACATGTACAATGAGTTTGTCATTTACTCTTCTGCGAATGTTTACTGACGTAATTATCTCTGCCAGAACAAATACTGATTACCTTACAGTAGAATGGGTAGATAGAACAATGACATCTGTCAATAATATACTTCAGTATATTCTACTACCAAATGTAGAAAAGATAACATGGAGCTCTAGAGTTATTTCTAAACATTTTTATCAGAACAATGATATGAGGAAAATTAAGGTTCAATTGGAATCTAAAATGTGATAGTGTGACCCACTTTATGTACATGTACCTGTTTAACAATCAGGTTAAGCATTTACATTCATGGGCACGCCGAGCATTGCATCAATGGCAAGATTCTAAAAAATTGATCGTCATGTTCCAATCCAATCCACAAATTTATAAAGCGCCAATATCTAGTTGCCTATAATCAAAGGCACTGATGAGACTGAAAAAGAAAAACTACCAAAAACGTCTTTTTATGATTCTAACTGGGAAAGACAAAAAAGCAGTGACTAATTGTAAGCAATCTGAAATACATGTAGGTATGTCTTTAGTTGAGTTCTGAAAATGGATAACTGGTGACAAGAGCAAAGGATTTGGGGAAGACCATTCCACAATCTCGATGTTCAAATTCAAATAAAGTCACACCCCAACAAAAAAGAACATTTATCATAGTAATAAGTAATTATTTTGTCATCCAATGTAGCCTGTAGGTATCCATGTGATTTGGTTCAATGTGCCTTGGCCTGGCGATAAATATGACCAAGGACAGGACTCATTTCCAATTGCTTGGAATGTTGGATTTCAATTAAGGTTCGATTGTCATTTCTTAATCTTACTCTTACTTTTTATTTTGGGTCTATCTTTAAGTTATCATGATCCAACTCCAAGTTAAGTGGCAAAACTTGAGTCAGGAGAGTCTTAAATCTTAATGTGCAAGGGCTTTTGAAATAATTCTTTGCAAGTTTGGTGATGGTGAAAGTGCCAGTGAGTCTATTTCTATTCACATTTCATTGACGTTGACTCAAAATAGGATATGCCGGGTACGATAGATGTAACACGGTTTCTGATTGGTTATTCGAATACACACCCCCAACCTGCCCTTTAAATACACCAATGAAAACGCCTGACACATCCCGCGCCAAGTTGAGCATACATCGTACTACCGGTAAAAGTGACGCACCCAAATGAGTGAATGAATACAAACAGAAAAACACAGTCGTACAAAACACACTAAACACAACCATAAACATTATTAATTACCAATTAAACTTATAAATATGATGCTCAGATATTATTTGTGAGAAATTTATTTCCTAACAACCGAAATCATTAGATAAGATCTAGGGTCTAGATCTAAGTTAGACCTTCTAAGGCAAGCAATTCCTGTCTTTTTAAAAACCGTATTCATCGCATCGCCCAACGCTGAACTGCAACAGTGCAGTGATGAAACGAGGGAAATAAACACAAGGACTGCTGTCAAAAACCTCTTCAAGGAATTGTGGGGTAAAATAAATAAGGAATTTTCTTAGAATCAAGGGGAGTTATTTTAATAAACTTACCGAGGTCTAGCTCTTCACAAACCAACACAGTTCCAAGGAGTGCCCCGGCTGATGCTCCGGCTATTTTATCGATGATGTGCGGGGCATGTTCACGAAAACAACTCGCGACTCCGATGTGATAAATGCCCAAAAATCCACATCCTGCGAACGAAATATTCATTTTTACCGACAGATGTAAAATGGAGATGTAAATGACTCACGGCTTGAATAAGAAATTGCTAAAACGGGTCTAGTAGTCTATAGTCTTCTAAACTCGAAGGCAAGAAATCGGAATGTCTCTCGCGATAATGTCAACATTACGCAACTGAATTATTTTCGAGAACTGCCTGATCGCCAGTACAGTACAGTGCTTTTGCAGCATGCAGTGAAGATCATCTACAGCGCATGCGCAGTAATCTGACTAGACATCGGCTTCACACATGATGACGTGATCTTACTACGGTTTGTTTAGTCACGTGTCGAATCGTGCGATGTAAAAGGGGAAACCACACTCTTCCTAAGGTGCATATAAATTAATTCAATTTCAATGCCAAAACGACACTTTCAGGATTGTACAATGCTTTTAAAATAGCTCAATTATCTTAATAAAATATCTAAAAATAGAAAATATATCATTTCATAGACACTTAATAATAACATTGAAAATAGTATACATTTAATATGAAGGAAAAATCATCCAAGTAACATAGTAGTGTTTCCCCCGTTTTGAAGGCGTGTTCTGCGTCATCGTTAACTACCAATTTTATTGGCCATCTAGTCGAGTCAACGAACTTTCTTTTTTTTAGAACGGTACATATATAGTGATTGGTGGAAACTTTTGTTCATTATGTAGTAGAAGTTTAGAACCATACACTTCATCATAGGCGCCGGAAGTGGGGGGGCAGGGGGGGCAGTTGCCCCCCCAGTCAAAAAAGTGGGGGGGCAAAACGCATTTTTGCCCCCCAAAAACGCCCCCCCCCCCTCCAAAAAAAACAAAAAAAACAGTAAAGGAGTAAACATGGTTTGTATTTTTAATCCAAAAGAACGTAACAATAATAAAAACCTGAATTAAATCACATATACAATTCCATTCAAAGAAAAAGGAAAGTTCACAGGAATTAAATTTCATAAACATTGCGCATGCCACCTATACGGTATTTATCAATGGAGGTCTCTATAATAGCGATACGCGCATATCGTGGACATATTGTGCGAGAATGGGAAAGCGTGTCCGTTTTTTTGTTATAGGGGTGAGAAGACATGAGCCCCTGAACGTTGGCGTACTGATGGGGGGGGGGGGGGGGGGGGGGGTGATGTATTTCTTATTCGAAACAAGTGATATACAAATGTTGATGTTGTGACATGATTTTCCGGCATTTTTTCTCCATTTTTTTTGTAAGTCATACCTTCTTATGCGTTTGTTGGAAAATAAGAAATTCCCAAATTACAGTCGGGCGAAATACGCTTATTTAGAAGCCTTTATGTCATGGTCTGCAAAGTGGCTGGGCTCGAGCCCCCCCCCCCCCCCTCCCCCCCCCCCTCCTTTTTTGAAAAAGTATGTTAAAGAGAAAAAGAAAGAAAGACGGAGAAAAAATAAGTGACCTGCCAATGTCACAAATAAGGTATAAAAAATGCTCATCTGACCGTAATTAAATGCTTAAAACCCCAGAGCTTACGGGGGCTCTGCCCCCGGACCCCACTAAGGGACCTAAGGCGGGCCCCTGGATGCTCATCTGACCGTATTTAAATACCTAAAACCCCCGAGCTTCCAGGGGCTCTGCCCCCTGGACCCCAACAAGGGCTCTAAGGCGGGCCCCTGGATGCTCATCTGACCGTAATTAAATACCTAAAACCCCTGAGCTTCCGGGGCTTTGCCCCTGGACCCCACTAAGGGACCTAAGGCGGGCCCCTGGATGCTCATCTGACCGTATTTAAATACCTAAAACCCCCGAGCTTCCAGGGGCTCTGCCCCCTGGACCCCAACAAGGGCTCTAAGGCGGGCCCCTGGATGCTCATCTGACCGTAATTAAATACCTAAAACCCCTGAGCTTCCGGGGCTTTGCCCCTGGACCCCACCAAGGGCCCTAAGGCGGCCCCCTGGATGCTCATCTGACCTTAATTAAATACCTAAATCCCCTGAGCTTCCGGGGGCTCTGCCCCCTGGACCCCACCAAGGGCCCTAAGGCGGCCCCCTGGATGCTCATCTGACCTTAATTAAATACCTAAAACCCCTGAGCTTCCGGGGGCTCTGCCCCCTGGACCCCACCAAGGGCCCTAAGGCGGGCCCCTGGATGCTCATCTGACCGTAATTAAATACCTAAAACCTCTGAGCTTCTGGGGGCTCTCCCCCCCCCCCCCCCATTGGAACATGTCAATTGCCTTACAGAGGGCCCCTGGATGCTCATCTAACCGTAATTAAATACCTAAAACCCCTGAGCTTCCGGGGGCTCAGCCCCTTAACCCCCTGCCGAGGCTCATGCCCTGGACCCCACGCCAATTTACGCTCTACCTGATCGATAATACTCCACTTTGAAAAACGTTCCGCGGGACCTGCATGTAACGTGTAAGACTGGTGGTGATGCAGATTTTTCGTCTGCCCCCCCCCCTTCCGAACTTTTTTTTCTCATTACGTCACTGCCCCTGGAATGTGAGCCCCCTGGAATGTTTGCCCCCCCCCCCCCCCCCCCCCCCAATCCCAAACTGCTTCCGGCGCGCCTGCACTTCATTGATATTCCTGGCTGGAGAACAATGTTCTACATGATTTAAAGTTGAAACTTAATCCATACTCATATTGTTGTCTTCTTCTTCTCTCATCCTCTTTCACTTTTCTCTCTCTCGCTCTCTCTCTCCCACTCTCTCTGATCTCTCGTTCTTTCTTTTCCTTCTGTCTTTCTTGCTCTTTTCATTTTTTTCTCACAATATTTCTCTCTTTCTTTCTTTCTGTCCTTCGTTCATTGTATATCTATTCATTAATTGATTAATTTTGTTTGTTTATATATTTATTTATTTGAATTAGCCTATATAGGGCCTTGGGCCTACACGAAATTAAACGCAATAACATGCAATATTTACTTGTTCTTTTGTATTTTTGTCCTTTCATTTTACACTTAGTTTCCATGATTAGTACAAGACACACTCATGACACATTATTTTACACTTCCAAATTTCTACTGACCAAGTAGTTGTTCAAAAGTTTGACTCTAATTTGAAGCGAATATGTACATGTCAATAATTTAAAAAAAAATAATAATGCGTCTAGCGGTTTACCCCCCCCCCCCCCCGATTCAACAAGGAAAAGAAAATCAGAGGGTGGGGAGAGAACGAGAGGGGAAGAGGGAGAGAGAGAGAGAGGGGAGGGAGAGGACACAGGACGATGGAGGGGGTTGATAACCACCCCCTCCCCCCTCCTGCGTATACGGTGGAAATGTGGCATGGTAACGAAAGGGAAAAATAAGAGATGAGCAAAATGATAATATTAGATAGAGATAATTAATTGCATTACAAGTCATGTATGGTGATGAATAGAGGGACCATGAGAGAAATCGACAGAGGGGCTGGGAGAGGAGGGAGGGGGTACAACGTAAAATGTTGTATTTAATATTAAATAGCGCTGATAGTTTTTGGTTAATATTTCTGGGGTATCTTTGTGTTTTAATAGATGTTTAATTATAGTACCTTTATTTGAGTATGTTCCAACAACCAGAACGACGGGGGAAGAGTCGTGGTTTCGTTTTCTATCTGTGTATTTTCACACTATATAGGCGGTGTCACACAGACAAATCTCTTGAAAAATTCCTTGAAAAATCCTTTCAAGGGAGAATTTTCTTGCTTCGTTAGAGGATTTTTAATGGGATAATTATTGATAACAGACAGCAATTAAGAGGATAACTAAAATCCGGATAACTAAAATCCGGATTTGTGGCCTCTGTGTGACACCACCTTATTAAGAACTTAAGCAAATCTACTAATTCTTTAACTAATTAAACTGCAGATTGATATGACATTTATTACGTAACCAAGACAGGCAAAAGATTACAATCACTCGCAAACTGTCTTCATAGACATCGCCTTTGGAGAATGACGTACGGGTGTCACCCCTCGAAATCAAAACGTTTTGTATGTAATCTATTTATCATTAACGTTTTTTTATTTTTATTATTATTTTTCAGCGGGTATACACATTTGATGACTTTTAAAAAGCTCTACTGGAAATCTTAGCATCCAAATCATAACAAATTCCTACCTTTATAAATGACATTGAAATGACATATTTTAACCCAATTCCCCCCCCCCCCTATCTATTTGAATTTGAATACCGATGCATCCGAGAGTTTTGTGGCTTGTTGTACATCGAACCCATATTAACGAAATAATACAAACAGTGAGTAGGCCTAAGGCGTTTGATGTATTTGAGTGGAAAATAAATTGTTGGCAAAATTTCTAGTTTGGTTGTTCATCATGACTATCATTTAGCATGGTAGTATGAAAATCATGACCAATAGACCTGTTAACTAACGTATTCAAATTTAATGCATACTTTTTAAACAATGTTTCTTATCGGTAACCTTAGAGAAGGAACTTGACCGAGGCTTGTCCGACATAGCAACAAGTAACCTATGCAGACTGGAGTCCAAATTTAATATAGTTCATTCATTAATAACAGGTTAATGGAATAACTTGTAACTAGGTCCCCAGGAAAGAAACATCCCTAAAATTGAGTATGCTATAGCAAACAGGTCTTTTACTGTACAGTAAATTCTTCGAGATGCAGCAAACAATGACAAGAAACACCATTTAATCAAGAACAAACAAAACAAATAAACAAACACACAAACAACTAAATGAAAAACGACGAGAGTGAAGTTTCATAATTACTTGTTGAGCTGTGCATCAATATATTTTAAGAGGTAACATTAAAAATACAAATCGTATTCTAAATAATTAAGAAATTATTATCGTTCAATTCAATAACAGAAAATTAATACACCTGTATGATTATTTTCTACGTTCGTTTGTCATACGCACTAATACAAATACTTGCCTTTCTCTGGGAAGAAAATAGTGTAGAATGAGAGAAAAAAAGAGTTGAATATATGAATGTAAATAGATACATTGTATTAGATAGATAGATATATAGATAAAGATAGGTAGATTGATAGATAGATAGATAGATAGATAGATAGATTGAGATAGGCAGGCACGTATAGCCAGGGTTTGATGTTTGGGGGGGGGGGGGTAATCGATCGAGGTAAAAAAAAAAAAAGGGGGGTCTAACATAGTTCAGCCGATCCTGGAAAAAAAAATTGGGGGGCACGTGCCTGGAGATAGGCATAATAGCCATGATTAAGAGAAAAGGGTTGGATACAGAGAGAGAGAGAGAGAGAGAGTGATATAAACTTTGTATTTATTCATTTATTTATGTATTCGTTTTATTTATAAACAGGGTAACTCTCTCAGTATCAAAACTGTTTTCATTAAAGGTCTTTTACAATTTATAGGTAACAAATACCGACGAAATTAAACAAAGTTAAAATACATAACATACCATATCAACGGTAATTTTATTCTATTTCTATATACACCATGATTATATAGATGAAAAAGTAGATTTTTTTTGATTTTTTTTTAGATGATGACGTCTAAAGGTGGGGGAGGACTAAACAAACCTACCAGCTACGTCTTTCCATGCTTCACATACATTTTGGATTTAAATACGCAACAATATTTACATGAATTTCGTTGACAAGTAAAAAAATCAAATGTTCAGGACTGTATGTATAAAGTCTTTGGCAGAACTAGTAAGGGTGTGTCACGTGTTCCAAAGGAGACCTTTCGGCAATAATCTGATTAATCTTATCCCTGTCCTGTCTAACGTCTTTGATAAAGCCCACACCATCCTCATTTTTCACCAGGATGCCAACGATTTTCCATTGGTTGCGTTCCCTTATCGTCACTGGTGCCCCCAGACTGTCCCAGCCCTTGTAGTCTTCGAGATCTTGCTCTAGATGTCCGCAGAGATAGGGCTGGTGGACCTCATTGGGCGACCCGCACTGTAATGACGTCAACCGGTAGTGACGTCGCTTCTGCCGTCCTACCACATCCGGTGCCTTTGAGCGATCAATCCACCACCCTGATGCTAGGACACGCTTGCCATCTAGGTTTCCAAACGTTGGTGTCTCCTCCAGGATATCGATGACCGACGCAGGTCCTTGCAGATCAACCGAAGGTGATATTTGCAGGAGAACCGGAGCGGGGCCGTCAGGGGTTGCATCCGGCAACACCCTGTGGATTCGCAGAACGCGGTAAGTTTCTGCAACCACGTTGAACTTCGGCAGTGTGCCTTGTCCAGCAGAAACCTTTATCTCCAGATTAGAGGGCGCTGTCCAAACCTTGTCCGGACAGTCACCATCAAGCGGTCGTGAGCATCTTGATACGAGGTGCAGATAGGACTCGATCTTGGTGATTCGCGCGAGGCATTGGTATGAAGTGAGGACAAAGCTTGGTGACACCAAGGCACCGTTGCAAATCGGGGTGTCCGTGGCCGAATCCCAGATAAGAACTACCCATGACCAGCGCAATCTGGTGAAAAAACAAAAGCAAAAGGTATATCAAAACTATTTTCTCCTAATTTAGAACATGATCATAAAGACTTCATCATAAAATCAACTCAATTTCAATTTTAATGCCGTTTTCTATTGCCTACAGAATATAATCATGTTCAGATTTAACAATATTTAATGTGGACATGTTCACACAAAATTAATCAAAAGGTGATGCATAGCTTCAAAACTATCGAAATTGTATTAGCATTAACTAATTGAGAGTGTTTGCCATCTTGTTTTAGACAAAAATAATTATGGTCGAGAGGGTCTTCATAATTTCAATTCCCAAGACGCCATGAAAAAAGTTCGAAGCTGGCCGCCGGAACGCCCCTATGCTCTGCTTGGTATAGAATAGAGTACAAAAGTGTGAATACATACTGGCCAAGTTGTCAAGGTTGCTGGTTCCAGTCTGACATTATATCCCAGGAATTCATTAAGAACCAGAGAGAAAACGTACCCCTCATCCTGCATACTCCCACCAGGAGCCAAGTTAATTCATACACAAGCCCATGTAGTCACATCGAAAATGCAACGTTCAAAGTTCAACTTCAAACAGGCTAGATAATGACCCACACGAGCGCAAAGGCTTTAGGGCCAGACCCTCTTCCCAATCCAAAGCTGGAGCTACTCCCTCGCAAAAGCTTCAACTATCACATTTGTTTTCCTTGCCACCAGCTTACTACCCCCCCCCCCCCCCCCCCACAACACACACCCATAAACACACACCTTTCGAGTACCGCTCCCGATTTTCAAACCCAAGTGATACGAAACCTGACGTTGGATTGGATCCATAGTGGCTTATCTTTCATGCGTCCCATTCTGGTTTAGCGCCCCCTTGCGATCTATACATGACAGTATTGTTTTATTACCCCTAACTTTGGAGTGAATGATTTCCGCCATCCAGGGGATTTTCTTCTTCTCCTTCTTCTTTACCCGTTCTTTTTTCGTTCTTTCTTTCTTTTTTTTTGTGTTTCTTCTTGTTGTTGATAAAAGAAAAATCATTTTATATTGAATTGAAGATATAACACGTTACGACAGAATTACACGACTCAAGTGGAAAGTTTTCATTCTTAAGGGATGAGAGTTGGGCTTTAAGTGAAGGGGGGGGGGTGATTGTGCCAAACTTTATGCCAGAGTTCAATTTCACTTTTGCATTCTAGGTGGCAATTTACCTATCTAATGCCATGTAGTTAGGAATTGAAGGGGCGTGGACTGAAGTCGGACTTGGAGAGGTAGCATCGGCAATCGCTGGTACGTCGACAAGATCATCCCCTCTGCATGGAACATCAGATCGAATAAGATCCATTATCTGTAAATGGTAGAGGAAAATTAAGTAAGGGTAATTATGGGATTCAGGATAACAATAACGACATGGAAAGAACAACGCAAAGGGAAGGAGGAAGAGAAGGAAAGAAGAAGAAGAAGAAGAAGAGAAGAAGGAGGAGGAGAAGAAGAAGAAGAAGAAGAAGAAGAAGAAGAAGAAGAAGAAAAGAAGAAGAAAAGAAGAAGAAGAAGAACCAACAACAACAACAACAACGCAAAGGGAAGGAGGCAGAGAAGGAAAGAAGAAGAAGAAGAAGAAGAAGAACCAACAACAACAACAACAACGCAAAGGGAAGGAGGCAGAGAAGGAAAGAAGAAGAAGAAGAAGAATAGGAAGAAGAAGGAAAAGAAGACTAACGAGGTCATAAAATGAACAAGAACTTATACATGAAGTCCCAAAGAAATATTTTTTGAAATGACGGCCGGATGATAAACATTCATTTCATCGCCAATCTTAGATACTGCACTGCGAAAAAAATCTTTTGTAACCGTTTAAGAATCACAGCATCCTAACTTAAACCTATAGATCAAATCTGTTCTTACGAAATAAAGAAATTTTATATCAAGGAGAGGGCTATAGCCTACGAGACCGATCTCCCCTGAGACCGAAAATGTCGTTCTCAGGGACTTTCTGAAACTTTATCAGAGGACTCACGAGACCGACGGCCCACAATACCAACATGTTGGTCTCGCAGGCCTTCCAAAAAAACTTTTCTGAGGGTTTAACATAATTATACCATCATTGGTCTCTTAAGCTGGTGGGATGTCTCGACAGAAAGGAAAACCCCGAAGGAGGTAATTAAAAATATATGACTGACCTTTACACCGTCCAGCGGCCGTGGCGTCTTGCACCTGGTCTGGTACTCCTTGTCCAATCTGATACCGTTCCTCCGGGTCATGTCGGTAAAGAAACGGACGAATCGGCAATTGCAGTTCCAGGGATTGCCAGCCAAGTCCAACACCCTCCCTGGCAAAATATGCGGTGAGAAGTCCATGAGCTCCGTCAGACGGTTATTGGACAGAGTGAGGTTGTAGAGGTAGAGACGAGAATCATTCCTGACAGAGACTTTGGTCAGGTTATTGTTGGATAGATACAGATAGCGCAGATTCCCTGCAACCTCGAAGTCCCCTGAAGACATCTGGCTGAACTGGTTATTGTTAAGGTTCAGGGTTTGGACCGGCCGAATATTTTTCAACCATTTCATCTTGTCATTGGTTAGTTTGTTCTCCGCAAGGTTGAGGTTGCTTAGGGCAGTGAGTCCTTGGAAGGCTTTGTCCGAGATCTCGGTGAGGCTGTTGTTCCGCAGATCAAGCATTTCGAGGGTCCTCAGAAGCCGGAAGATACCATCGGGTAATCTTCTGAGGTTGTTGTCACTCATCATCAGGCGGTGGAGTCGGTTGAATCCGCTGAAGGCATCAGGTACGATGCGCAAGATCTTGTTTCTAGAAAGGGTCAGAACTCTTAAGCTTGGGGCACCACGGAAGACACCCCTCTGCAGCTCTATAAGTTGGTTTCCCTGTAAGTTTAGCCATGTCAGCTGAGACATAAAGGAGAATTGTGTCGTTTTCAGCGCCTCGGGTTCAACGATATAGAGCTTGTTGTCTGCAAGGTTGAGCTCCATTAATGCCGCAAGGCCTTGCAATGCCCCAGCCTGAAGATGCCTGAGACTGTTCCCGGACAGATCAAGGAACTCTAAACCCACAAGACCAGCCAAAGAGTTTGACGAGATTCGGGAAATATTATTGTCGGTTAGTGTGAGATAAGATAAACTCGGGATATCGCCGAATGTGTCAGCTGTGATGTTTGGCAACATATTGCCCTTCAGGTTTAATTTTGTGAGATTGGCCAAGTTGGTAAACACGTCGTCCATGATTTCGTTCACGCTGTTGGAAGACAGGTCGAGCGTCCTCAGAGCATTGGCTCCTTGGAATGCCAAACTGTTCAGAGACGTCAATGAGTTCCCGGATAAATCTAGAAACTCCAAAAGGCGTTGGTTCTGAAACGCATTCGGCGCAATCGTCTTGATCCGGTTGAAACTCAGATCAATTTTCTTCAGTTGCGTGTTGCTTAAGAACAGGGTCGGGTCTATTCGGGTGAACTTATTCCTTTGCAAGTACAACTCCGTCAATTGAGACAATCCAGTGAAGATCATCTGATTCTTTTCATTCACGCGATTGTACGAGAGATTCAAAAACTTCAGCGCATCCAGTGGCTGAAAACAGTCCTCAGCAATACTCCACAGGATGTTATCGCTAAGGTCCAGTCTCTCAATTTGACGGTTATTGCGGAAAATGGACTCTGGCAAAGAGCGCAGAAAGTTCCCAGACACTAGGAAAGTCCTCAACGCATGTGCATCATGCAAGAGGTCCGTATGCAGAGACTTAATGCGATTCTCGTTCAAGTTGAGAACCACGAGGTTAGACAAACCCTGGAACGTGGTGGGACTAAGCTCCATGATTTTGTTTCCGTGAAGGTCAATCTGGATGATCTCTCGAAGACCACTGAGGGCGCCCTGTGGGACTGAACGGATGTTCCGTCGACGGACAGGTGTCGGGTCTGGAATGATGTAGGTCCGGGGCCGTCGCATGCTCAGACTGCCTCTCAGGCTCCGTGGCCGATGACCGAGCCGCACATCTTTCTGTCTTCGCCGCTTCGGCTTCTGACTCCCTATCAGCATCAAGTACTTGATATCTTTGAAAGAGAGAGAAAGAGATCGAGAAAGAGAGAGAGAAAAAAATCACTCTTTGAAATCTATCTGATTCACATCGAAGGCCCTGTTTGTAAAATATCCAACTCGTTTCATCTTATTTAATCTGAACCTGTTTTTCCTCCTCTATTTTCAACGAAATTTAACAATCATTTTGCCTATATTTTTTCCGTATTTGCCCATTATTTTGTCTGTTTGACTAATGCCTATATAGGGCACTATCAAGTGTGAGCAATTTCCACTCATTCCCACTACCGTTTGATCTTTTACCAACTCGAAGTTTAATTTGAGAGTTTGAAAAATAACTCTTCATAACACCCTTATCAGTTTAACAGTTCGAAGAAGTTGAATTCCTTGGAAAAAAGCATTATATAACGTTGATCACGATTTCAAAGACTTTTGAGCGGGCAATCCGAGGGCAATTTCAATGCCCTAAGAAATCATGTTTAGATAGCGTAATATTTCAGTGCAATTATTATGTTCGCACATTTAAATATGACTGTGAAGGGCAATGTTTTCGAAATTGCTGTGGGGTCATTTTTCGAAATTCTTTGTGATCATGTCGTTCTAACTGAAGTCTGTTTTAACCTCGTGAAATCGGTTGGGGAATGTCCTTCCGCCCCCAGCAAGCTATAGCCTTGCTTCCTTCTTCCCAGTCGTTTGCTTGAATATAACTTGACAGGAGTGCGGTCGGCGGAGGTGCGTTGCGAGACACGACAAAACAGTAGCAGTGGTCTGGGCATGAGTCTAACGTCGACACGGTGGATGTAGTTAAGGGGGCGAAGATGAGAGCAGCGAAAAGACACGCGAATATGATGACTTTGTTGTCCATTTCGATAGCTGAAAATGATAAATGAAACACATTTTGTTAAAATTTGCAGCTTCTTAGATAATGAATATCAACTTCTTAAAATCAAGAAACACCAAGAAGTATAATGGCGTATTTGTATATCGGAATAACAAAGAGCCTCTCGGCTGCGCAATCCGATAATGATTTCTATTCTTCTTCCTATTTGTTTTCTTTTTCTTTCTTTCTTACCTGTTTCCCTATTTTTTTCTTGTCTTTTTCTAAAAACTGTTTTCACAGATAGCGAGATTGTCACATTTTGTTCAACAAAAAAGGTTTTGTGCCCCTCGCCCATGGTCACGGTAAAATAACAATTTGATCCACTATTGATGCAGCCCTGCTAAAGACCGTGGGGGAGACATTTTTATTTTATGACTTCGGGATCTCCAGCGAACAGAAGTTTCGCATCAAAATCATCCTCATTATCCCACAAATTTTATGACGAAATTTACCAGGAGTGACTTGTTCACGTTGAAAGCGTGACAGAAAATATGTAGGCCGGATTATGGCTTTCAAAATGCCCCAAGAGTATGGAAATGAACCGCTGTATATATTCGGCAGCGGCTCAGAAGGCTTATAAAGAAATCCTTTCATCGTATTCAGAGATGCATGAAAACGGACATTGTCTTGTGATTTTCTTTTCTCTTTTGAGGGAATTTGTTGGTTCTCCCCGAGGATCAAAGGAAAAATATTATGGCGCGAACGATGGAGAGAAAAGAGGTGAGGGAGAGAGAGAGAGAGAGAGATAGGGAGAAGGTGGAGAGATAGAAGAATAGAAATATAAAGAGACAGAGAGAGATACAGAGGGAGAGAGACAGAGAAATAGGATGTAAAGAGAATGTAAAGAGAAAGACAGAGAGAGAGACAGAGACAGAGACAGAGGGGAGAGGGAGAGAGACAGAGACAGAAAAATAGAATGTAAAGAGACAGACAGAGAGAGAGACAGACAGAGAGACAAAGAGAGAGCGAAAAAGAGAGATAAAAGACAGAGAGAGAGAGAGAGGGGGGGCACAGAGGCTGAGGAAGAGAGAGAGAGAGAGAGAGAGAGAGAGACAGGAAAGACAGAGAGAGAGAGAGAAAGAGAGAGAGAGGGAGAAGGTGGAGAGCTAGAAGAATAGAAATATAAAGAGACAGAGAGAGACAGAGGGAGAGAGAGAGAGAGAGAGAGAGGCAGAGAGAGATTTGCTCTTGTTCCTTAGTCCCTTGGGGCAAGAAAGACAAGTCGGCCATTATGTAGTCTGAGTGTGTGCTAGAGAGGGTGCTTGATGGATGGGTGAGGGGTGAATGGCAGAGAAGTGAAATATGACTGGATTTACAGAAGAGGGTAACTTCTTGATGGCGTAGCCAGTGGACAAGGGGCGTAGCTCTCTCCCTATTCTTTATTCTGTAGTTTTCTTGATCCGAACTATGTGAAATTGATTGGTTGGTTAGTTGGTTGGTTGGTTTTTACCCGACAACAACCAGGGGACCGCCAGCGAGAGACTTGGTAATGAGGGTAAAGGGCACTAACGCATCGACTTGGTTTCGAACCCTGGACTTCTCGGTTATGGTTACAAGACCACTGCTCTTCTACTGAACCATTGCGCCTCATTGCGGTTTAAAATACATACGTTTTGCATAAACAGCCTTTCACTCTAAGTCTAAACATACACGATTATGATTGCGTTTTACATTTAGATTTGTTAAAATGACTGAACCAAAATTACCAAATTCCTGCATTTTACACAATAGGCAAATTATGGAAGCCATTTTCTAAAATAAATATAATATTCCTTTACAAAATAGCTTTAATCTTAAGATAAATTATTTTCCCTGATACACAATGGCGGATATGACACGATTACATAGATCGACTTTTGAAAAATCTATTCGAGGGCAATTTCAATAACCTTTCACACATATCCCGTAGAAATCACGTTCGAATTACCTAATGCATCATGTCCACGCGTATAAAGAAAAAATAATTTAGGTGGACTTTTTTCGAAAAGCATTTGCCATCTATTAATACTTGAACTTGTAAAAGGGCACAAGATTTCGAAATTTCCGCAAAATGGAGGGGGGGGGGGGACATAATTGGGTTGTTAATGTACTATAACAATGTACAGCGATATACAGGCATGTCATTTTCGTTTCAGAGTGGGGGGGGGGGGTACGTACAAGTCGTGCCGTAGGGATATAGAGGTACAGTGGCGTATCCAGACCTTGGCCGCATAGGAAGGAGGGGGGGGGGGCAAAATATCTTACTGTGATCACATGTGAAGAAAACATTCTTTGAAGGCCCTGGTTTTGCGGGGCCGAAGGGGCATCGTCATGATGTCTAAAATACATGCGTATTTAAAGATGAAGTTGAGTTCTGATCATGCGATTGCATTGTGAAAGAAAAGGTGTGGAACCGACCAGAAAAGGTTGATCATCTAGCATATAAGAATTTGTGTGTATTGGAAGGTTCTGGAATCATCAAAATGATAAGAAATTTGGCCAAGTCTTGGTAAAGTTACAAAAACTTGCACAGAAAGATGTATATGGGACTACACGAACACGTGGCGTAAAAAGCCGGCCCCCGATTTTTACGATGTTACATGCATATTTAGAATATGAAGGCATTTGAAGAGCCATGCTTTTCAAGGAACATGTCTTAACTGATGTTCTTCCACACTTGCATAATAAGAATGAGTAATGCTCACAAATTATTTTTCACCTCTCCCCAGTACTCAACCTTACAAAGGATTTTCTAACTTGCTAAGCACTAGTACAAAAAATGATTTGCATTTTTTTCAATCTGTCAGAAGGGGTAAATTGCCCCCTTGTCCAGGGAAATATTCGTTCGCAAAATCTTATACCTAATGGGACCCGGCAGCTACCTTTAATGGGTGAGTGACGGGGTTGATGGCGGAGAGGTGCCCGAGGGAAATCGTTCTCTATACCCCATAGATGATTTCAACATGTTCGAGATGGACAGACATACAAACGAGGCCATTCTTTGACGAGAGATGAGCTAGTCGTCAGAGCGCGATCCAAAACGTTTCAGAAATGCCTCTCTAACGAATCAGCATTGAACGGTTGATTTAGAAGGGGCACCTCCTGCCTGTGCCCCCTCCCCTCCGTTTAAAATTTCATCGGCATACTTTGGGTGGGCCTGCGACATACAAATTGTGCCCCTCTCATTTCAATTTTCGACCCAAAAAAGAAAGAGAGAGTGAGAGAGAAGAAAGAAAAAATTTGAATATCATTCTGTGATTGTGAGAATTTTTGGGATTGCGCCCCTATTTTTTATTTCACAAAAATCTTGAACCCGCCCCTACAAATGCAATCACCACATGGAAGGCTTTACGGCTTGAATAATCTTTAAAGGTGACGTGAGCCCTTATAATGAGATATGTTATTTAGGAAACTATTGTTTAGAAGAAGAGACCTTAAAAAAAAAGATTATTTCAAGTAATAATAACAGAAAAAATAACTGAATCAAACCCAAATTACGCATTATTCAAACGATTAAAATATTATGATCATCAACGAAACTAATTTGGTAGAAAGCCGAGCAGTCAGCTAATAGATAAGCCTATATCATTTTTGCATACTCAGATTGTATTAAGGACTGCTACAATGGGTTCTTTTTCTGGGGGAAGGTGCCCCTCGGCCCTCCCTATACCGTCCGCTTTCCCCTCCGGATCAGCCAATGATCAACTTAGGCTTATACAATAACCATTGCATTATCAACACACGATAGAGAGGCCTAGCTATATTAAGATTTACAGTATCTATCGGAGAGAAGCCCCATTTTAAAACAAGAGGAATCTGAAGAGCTCTCTTTTCCGAAATTCAACACTCTTCATCGACCCATCACCACCTCATTTTCTCTTGGCATCGTTTGACCCCTGTGCGCCGAGGTCAAAGTTCAAAGTCAAGGGTCGAGCTGGTGGAATGGGTCATAATTCATGGTCCGTAATGGCTCGATCATTTCCATTTCCATCTTATATTATGAGTGAAGGTCGATTACAAATTGTCCAAGATGGGTACAACCTAATAAAGCTCACATAGAGGTGTCGTGGAATATACATCACCCCCCCCCCCCCCCCGCTTCCTCGACTGGAAAGGATTCCGCCCTACCCCACCCCGCCCCTTTGATACGCCATCTTGGGACTAGCCTACATATTCCTCTAGGCCGTTCTTTACAACAACAAAAAAGGGGGGGTTGAAATACAACGGTATGCATATTTTCTGTCATATAATCTTTCAGCGCCACTCAAGTTTCTCATTTTTCGATCAGTCGATACATTTCTGTCACAGTCTTTCGGTTTAGCCCCTTAGGCTGATATTTTCACTGAGGCGACATATTTCTTGAAAAATGCCTTCCTAGCAATCCAATGCTACATATCCGTTGAATTAGTCAACATTCTTTAGATATTTACTCAAAAGCATGATACTGGGAGCATAGTACAGGGCTAGTTCAATATTGTACCATCATTATATCCTCAACGGAAATTCTTCTTCCATTGGTGCATACATTGAAGAACCAATAATAAATTCAATTCAATTTCAATTTCAATTTATTTATCTTTCCAACAAAACATTACAGATCAATTATAAACATTTAAAACAATAATGACGAATACATATTGGAAACAGAGGGGTCCATTAAATTACTAAAAGGCAATCCTTGTACAAGTGGGGACACTTCAAAATAATGATACTTAGGAATAATGAGTCCGTAACTACAAGAGGAACTACAAAATAAGGAAAGTAGGGGGGAAAGGGGGATGCCAACAGAGACGAGAATGGGACAAGCCAGGAGAACACGGTCATAATACAAAGAGTAGACAATGCCAAAAAATAAGTGAGAGATCGGGTGTACGGCAAATAATACAACATGATGAGCTGCATGTGGGGTTGAGAAGAAGAATATGAAGAGATATACGCATTAGAAAGGAGATGAGCATTAGAAGGCACAATATAATACATCAAATTACATTATAATGATAATGAA